TGAAAAGCGGCCCTGCTGAAGCGCCCACCAAGAGGGAGCGCAGGGCCCACTTGCCAGAGCAAAGGGCTCAGCAAGGGGGGCGTGGAATAAACCGCTGCACGACCCGAGCGGTGCAGGCCAAGCAGGCGAACCACAGCCACGGCGCAGCACGGGCCCCAGTGCTTGGGCAGAAGGGCCGCAGCACGCCCCCCGCCCAGGCCCCCTGCAGCTGGGTTGGGCAGCTCCGCCTGCAGTACTGCTGGAGGCAGAAGGCCGGGCAGCGCTGGAAGCCCGGGGCGAAGGGGAAGGCCTGCTGCAGCCCCAGGGAGAAAGAGCGACCCCCCCCCCCCAGCTGAGTGCAGCAGGGAAGCGGGGGCCCTCCGGCAAGAGCCCTCCAGCCCCTGCAGCTGCTCCACACGAGACCTTCTTCTGAAGTGGAGAGATGCATTTTAGAGCCATCTTGACAGCAGGCCTTCCAGGCCGGGGCAGGGCCTCCTCAGTCCAGGGCGCACTGGGGGCGCGCACACATGCCGCTCAAGCCCCCTTGCGTACCTCCAGTGGTCCTGCTGGGCCCCACAGTGTTCATTAGCATGGCGGGTCCAGCAACTCCACCGAGCGAAACAGCGGGGGGGCACACCTCCCCCCTTCGGGCTGTGCAGCCCTTCCAGCAGCAAACCCCCCAACCTTTCACTGGTTGGGGATCTTACGGCCTGCGAGTTTGTCCCGCTCTTGTGGTGTGCAAAGCCAATCCGCGCGGGGGCCTGCGCCAAGGGCGCTCGCCTGCCATGTATGTCAGGCGCCACCGTCTGACGTCCTAACGCTCGGCTGTTCTCCCCCAGGACAGACGGCTTTTCTCCGGGGAGGCTGATCATTGCGCAGGGCCCCCCTGGAGACGGCTCCGCAGCCCACCCTGCCACCAAGCCCCTTTGGGTCTTCACCAGCTCCACTCCCAACACCACCTACGCCCACCGGGAGTGGCGTCCCCAGCCCGGACACGTGGGCCAGGCCACCCTCCCCGCAAGGCCAGGCCAAGCGCTCCAGGGGAGGTGGAGAAGCGGCAGCCTCTCCCAGCTGCAAGGGTCCTCATCCAGCAGCGAAGAGAAGCATCCTGGACCAAGCCCCTTCCCAAAACAGAAAGGATTCCTGGTCTAAAACCAGCTGCAGGTGGAAACACCCTGTGTGTGTGTGGTGTGGGGGGGGGCTGGAAGAAGGCATGGGACTGTGGCGGTTGGAACCGTCCTGCGGACAGCCCCACAGCAGAGACCCAGCATGTTTGGAGCCATGCACATTACAAATAAACAGCCCAGGATCTTGCTCTGTGGGGGAGTCTGGCCTCTTCTTCAGTTTACCTGGCCAGCCTGCGACGGACGGGGACACGCACCAAGGCAGGCTGCCCACCTGTGACTGACGCTCTCCGAGTGGTCCCTGGTGTGCTCACACGTGGGTTCTGTGCCTGCGCGGGCCTGGTAGCGGGAGGATTCTCCTAGCCAGACTCGTTCTGGTGGGAGCCGACCGCTCCTGCTGGTCTGTATGGGAGGCCCCCACCTTACCCCCCAGTTCGCATGAAACTGATGGTTTGGGCCCGGGACTGATAAGGCAGCCTGGCAGTGCCCCAACCTGCCCCAGGCAGGCACACGTCCCCGAGGGAACGAAACTGCAGGATCCGAGGCTGCCAACACTGACACGGGGCCGGTGGGCGGGCGGTGTGCATGCGCGAACCACCAAAGAACGTCGGTTGCAGGTACACGACGTGCCTTCTTCTTCGTGGTCTCCGCGCATCACACACGCGGGCGACCGGAGAGCTCACCCTGAAATGGAGGAGGGTGGCGTCTTCAGCAGAGGACCACGCAGTCAAACGAGCCACCTTGTGGGCATGGAACTGGGAGCTCCCGAGGGAGGGGGCGGAGGGGGCCACACTGCCGTTGCGCAGAGGTCCCGCAGTGCGAGGCAGCGTGTGGCAGCAGAGGCCACCGTCGCGACAGCAGAAGGCCGCCTCAGTCGTGCAGAGCGGGGCAGTCCAGCCTGCTGGGAGGTCGGGTGGGTGGTTTCGATGATGCAGCGAGCATCACTGGGGGCTGGCGGACTCATCCGGACCGTTTGCTGCGCGCCACAAAAGGGCTATGGGACGGGCGGAAAGGTCCCGACGGGGTGGATGGAATGTCAGTGCCCTGCGCACGACCCCGATGTGCAGGGCTGGCTCTGCCACGGTGGGGGGCAGCACCGTGCCCTGCAGAAAGATCATCAGGTTGGGTCGCAACACTCCCTTGTCCTTCCGGAAAAGGAGAATCAGTGGGTCGATGTGCAAAACGCAACCTGCGTTTGCTCGCTCACCTGGCGGAAGGACCCCCGCCAACACCAGCCTCTCTTTCAAGAGCGATGCCCACGGTGCTCAGTTGCTCAAAAAGAAGCTTCATAAGTCCCTGCAGGACGACTGATGGGCTCCATCCCAGCACAGAGGAAAGGACAGGAGCAGCCAGGTCATGCAGCCCTCTAACAAACTGACGGGACAGAAGATGCAAGGAAACTGAGAAACCATCAGTCGTCCCATGAAAGGAAGAGCTCACCGCCAGATGTACTCTGACAGAGGATGGTTTCAGGCCTCCGATGCGGAGGCAGCCAGTGATCTGGTGGATGGACGCCCGACATGGATCGAGGGCTTCCTTCCGGACAGAGGCTGCAAAGGAGCTCCATTTGGCCTTGCCAGAGCGCCTCCTGTTCAGCTGCAGGGCCACTCAGGACCACCTGGATCTCGGGAAAGGAGCCTCCTGACCTCCATGCCATCAAGGAATGGTCCCCACAGCTGGGTGCAGGCTCATCCCGAGAGACGAATTCCAGGCTCTTCAGAAGCCAGGTGAAACTGTGGTTGGGCAGGTGGAGGTGAGCAACTGCACCTGCCGAGGATGCAGGAGGCGCCCTCTCTCCCAATCTTGGCCAGCACCTTGGTGATTGGGGGGAATGGGTAGAAAAAGGGTGGTGGTCCCTTGACGTGGCTGGGCAGATTGCTGCTGGAGCACCAGTTGATGGCTGGCCCCAGGACAGGCAGGATCGGGCCCAGAGCCACCTACGTGCCCTTGGGGGCTGCGAGGGCGCGAGGCCCATCCTCCTCGCTTCCTGCCCGGGCTCTCCATCAGCTTCCTCTCCGTTTGGGCACTGGACGGCCCCAGCACCTCTTCAGTCCTGGAACGAGCCTCCTGCAGCGGGCCGTGCCCAAGCCAGGCATGGCCCTACGCTGCCGCCTGCCAACCAGGGCCCAGGAGACGCCGACTCCACGGCAGCCGAGTTCAGCTGGGAAGGGGCAGCAGGCACGGGACGTCTGTCTCCGGCACCCAATTCAGGCTCTCCCGACGGTGTGACCTCGGCTGCGGCTTCCATGGTCCTTTCACGGACTGCAGGATCGCTGGAAGGAACAGGACAGTGGCCGGCACAGCATCCTCCATCCGGACGAAGTCACAGACCGGATCCACTGATGGCTCGGCGAGTTGCTGCCAAGCGACTCTGCCTTTCGGAGGACCCGGGCTTCCTCCCCAGCTCTCTGACGGGCGATCCAGACCCTGCGCTGAGACGACGTCTCCAGGCGGGGAAGACAACGGGCCACCGCAGAGTGGTGGCTGGCCCATGCTGGACACCTGGTCAGCAGGATCCGACCACGAGGACCAGTCCGCTGCTGAGGAAAGTCCTCAGGCACAGCAGCCTGTGCCAGAGCAGGAACCAGTGGCTGGACCACGGGAAGTGGCTCCAGGGCTGCTCAGTGGGACAGGCGGACGGGCCCCACTGACAAACCACAGGCCCCTGGGCCTCTGTGCTCAAGGAGAGCCATGGCAGTGCAGGCCTACTGGTGACAGCAGCGCCAAGAGGGCTCCGTCTCAGGTCAGCAATGGAGAGTGGACGGCTCCAGCGGACGGCGAGCAGAGCCAGGCCACGGTGCTGGCGAGAAGGCGCCGCGCGAGGGGCCAGTGGCTGGGCTCGGGGGGGCATGCAGGACAGCTGCTCCCCGAGTAGGGCGCCCAGGAGCCTCGGCGGAGGGCTGGGCTAGGCTGGCTGGAGCGGTGGGGGGGGAGCCCGCATCTCCCCCCTGAGGTGTCACCGCAGGGTGCATCAAAATCACTGCTGAAAGAGAGGCTAGAGAGGGGGAAGGGGGTGGGGGGTGTATGTGTAGGGGTAGGAAAAGGACTGCCTTCTGAATATGGGAAAGAACAAAATGAAATAAATGCACTGAAGAGAGAGTAGGTCATTAGGAGTTTCTAAAAGCTCATGAGGGGGAAATGCTAAGAAAGCCCCGAGGCACCCAAAACAGCAGCCAGAACAGAGCAGAGCAGAGCAGAGCTGGGGGAATGGCAGGAGCCCGTCCCATATACCATGGAAAGCGGGGGGGGGGGGGGGCTCCTGCCAGAACAGGTCTAACTAGGAAAGCCTTCCCAGCAGGCCCCACGCAGGTGCGGGCCTGTCTGTGTGAAGCAGGGGCCATGACGAAGCGGGCAGCGTTCCACGGCCCCCACAGGAAGGCCAAAGGCAAGGCCGCCGCGCATTCCTGCGCAGAGACAGGCAGGCGAGGGACACGAGGGGCCTGATCCTCCTCTCCCGGACCAGCTGCACGCCTGGGGGGCACCGCCCCAGCCACTGGGGCGGGAAGGCCCTTCTCCGCCGGAGCCCCAAGAGCAGCACACGAGAGTCAGTCCGAGGGACCGGCCAGCCAGCCTGGGGCAAGATCTCCACACCCTCCGTTCCACTTGCTCCCGAGGGGAAAACGTGCAGAGGATTCCCCTCCCCAGACAACACACAGGACACACAGAGAGGTGCGGCCCGATGCCTGTGGCAGGTAACCGGGGGGAGGCCTGGGGCTGCCCCCTCACACCCCCCCCCCGCAATACCCAGAGGATTCCCGTGGGACATCCAGGTCCAGCTGCCAGAGAACCAAGGTACCAAGGTGAGGCTGCCGAGGCGACGGAGGCCACACGCCCCCCCCCAAGCCACCTGTGGGATGGCACTGACCGTAGAACAGAACACAGAATGCCTCGTCCAGCTTTTCAGTTAGTTTCCTTTTTTAAAATTCAGAGATTATTTTTTTTTTTAAAAAGAGAATGAACCACCATCCTGACCAGCAGCCCAGCCCCCACCGAGAGTGGGGCCAGCCATGCACTGGCTCCCCCGCACCCCCCAGCATTCAGTGCCCACGGCTCAGAGCAGGTTTACCTTCTGGGGGCAGAGCAAAGAGTGGGAGCGTGGCCAGTCAGTTCAGAGTGCCCGTCCACATTCTGCGAGGGAAGGACAAGCCACCCGGCCAGCCACTGAATGCAGGAACCACGAAGCCGGGGCGGGCTGCAGTCCTCCGTCTGGGAAGGAGGGGATCGGGCCCAAGGAGGCCGAGAGGAGAGGCCAGGAGGCAGCAGGTGACTGGCGAGGCGTAAGCCAGGTGGGGCGGGGGAGAAACTGGGGGGGGGCAGAGACGTTACGGGGCGCAGGCAGGGCAGCACTCAGTCCCACTGCTTGCCAGAAGCCGCTGCCCGGGGGATGAGCGGCGCTTCAGAGCACCGGGGCGGGAGGGGAGGGGAGGGCGTGCAAGGTGTCTGTGGTATCGCATGCATGTGCGCACATGCCCAGCGGCACGGTTCTGCACACAGTTGTGAGGTGCTGCTGAGAAAAACGGGGGCGGGAAGAAAAGACGCAGCCTGGAAATCGAGGAGGGCTATATAAATGAGGAGTACTTTGTCTGACTCGGAGGGGCGAGGCCAGTCTGGGACAGGCAGAGGCGAGTGTCCTGAGCAGAGCCCTTGTCCCAGACCCACGGCGCCGTCGTCTGGGTCTGTACAACAGAGGTGGAGCCTGGCTTGGAAGCACCTGTGGAGCAGGGAGCCCCCATCTTCTGCCGTGCTGGAGGGGGCAATCGGCCTGAGCAGGTTCCTCCTCGCCCACAGCTGGTCAGTGGGTGTCCTTGATGATGACCTCCACCCCGTGCTGACGCAGCTGCGCTCGCAAGATCAGGTTCTTGTTCTTCAGCTCTTCCACCTGCAGAGGGAGCAGGGACAGCTGCAAGCAGGGGCTGGAGGGGAGATCCCCGGCCGGCCGGGGCCCCTCGGCCTCATGGAGCGCTTCTCCCCCTCCCAGGAAGCCACCCGCTGGGCCCGCACCCCGAACGAGCTGTGCAGACGCCTGCAAGCAGCCGACCAGGCCTGCCGTGCCCCTCGCTGCTTCTTCACCCGGGGGCTCCTGCGGGAATGGAACGGAACTGCCGGCCACTCGAGGCAGAGCTGACTGGCCCCCCGCGCCCCGTGGCTTCCCCCTTCCCTAGGGGGCGATCTTTTTGTCCTTTCTGATCTGAAAGCAGCACATGGAAGAGGCTGTTTGCTTGATCGCCCTCCCTTTCACCATTTGTCAGTGCAAACAATGTACACAGCATGTTCTGAACGTCTATTTTATTCATTTTTACTAGTGCTGACACCAACACAGGCTTGTGTGGGTCCAAAATGCAAAGTCTCACCGGGGCCGCTGCCGGAGGACAGGGTCTCCCGTCAAAGTGTGCCAGAATCCCCCCCACAGGCATTGCCCAGAGAGGCTGCAAAGAGTGTGAGCTCGGTTCCTCAGGGCAGCTGTCAAAACGTGAGCCATCGAGAGAAGCCAAAGCACAAGGCACCTTCACGCAGACAACGGGGTGGGCCACACGTGGCCCAGGAGTCTCCCGTGCCAGGCTCGTCGCATTTCTCTAGCACTCCTGAAATTCTCAGGGGCAGGCATGGATCCCCGAGGGTATCCCCTCCCACACCTGGGCACCCATGCGGCGGCCAGTGCCGGCGATGGCCTGGCCCAGGGCTTCTGCCGCTCTCGCCAAGCATCTCACCGGCGGCTTCTGCAGCCCACAGCGATGTCGGCGCCCAAGGCTTGGGTGGCACGACTCATCGTGGCTCCGACTACCCCACCCAGCTGCTCAGGTGGCTCATGGCCCAAGAACATGCCGCCCCGGCCCTGCCAGGCACGGCCACCCAGTCGGGCCTGTCGCCCCAGCGGGCTGTCCCACTCCGCGAAACCCGGCACTGGCCGCGGCCGGAGCGGCTGCACCCTTTACTTGCCACACGTCTGGAGCGGTGCGTCCGCAGGGCTCCGGCACCCGAGCCGAGGTGTGAGCAGCTGCAAGGAGGGCCGGCCCCACGACTCTCCTCGAGGCCCTGCTGCTCCTTCGCCGCCCACGATGCCGCAGCAAGAAAAGCAGCGAGGCACTCGCCGGAGGAAGGCCTCTGAGGGCAGGGGAGCCCCGCCTGCACCGCACTCGCAGAAGGCCCTGCTTCACACGCGCGCGAGGCACATGCCGCCAGGTCGACCAAGCACGCGCCGAGTCCTCTCAGGCCGCCAGGCCCGGCGCTGCAGCCTCACCTGCTGCCGCAAGACCTCGTTGTCCATCTGCAGCTGGTCGAGGCCTTGCAGCTCCTCCGAGAGGCGGATGTTGCTCTGCCGCAGCTCCTGGATGTAGTCACAGGCTTTGGACAGGATGCCTCCTTTACTCTGCAGAGGAAGGCGACTGAGCTGGGGACCAGGGAGGCCTCGCCTCCTGGGGGAAAGGCCAGCTGCCCCCAGCTACCCTCCCTCTGGCCCTGCCTGCGAGGCGAGGCGAGGCAGGCATCCTCCCATTCCCTGCAGGCAGGCGCATGGCCCCGCCATGGCTGGAGAACGGCCACGGTGACCCCTCTGCTAGCACACTCGGAAGCAAGCCGAGACAGGCCTGTGCTGGACTGAACACCCCCTCCAACCACGCCACGGGCCCCAGAGATCCCCCAAGCAGCCGACCGCAGGGAACTCAGACCCCCAGGGGCACCCTTTGGCCAACTGCCCCCACACCAGAAAGCAGCACTCTGCCACACAGCCGGGCTGTGCACGGGGCTCCCCACTGCGCCCCCACCCCCGAGCCCAGGTCAGGCAACGGGACCTGAGGCGCACACCGCAGTTCCCCAGACACGATTCCGGGCGCAGCGCCGGCTCGCAGGTTTGCTTGGGAGGTGCCCGGCAGCATCCGCGCTTGCTTGAGCCTTTCCGTTTCCCAGACTACAGGCTCCCTTGGCGACAGTCGCACCAGGGCATTCTGGGAAACCGCAGGCCAAGCAGGCCTGCCTGAGGCGCGCTGCAGGCTGGCGCCGCCGCAAGGGGAGGCACAGCAGGGGGGCCGTGGCTGACCCGAGCCTCTTTACCTGCCCGGACTTGGTGTTCTCCATCGAGCAGTCGGGGATGATCTTGGACAGCTGCACGATCCAGTTGTTGATCTTGTCCCTGCGCCGGCGCTCCACTGCAAGACAGGGATGGCTCCAGTCACGGGGCTTCCTCGGGGGGCGCCTCAGACATCCCCAGTGGCCCGAGCCCCCTGCCCTATCGGACCAGGGCAGCGCCCTCCACAGCGGCTCTGCCCCTGCGTGATCACGACTCGCAGCAACACTGACACAAGAACAGAGGCCAGCCAGTTTCACCAGGAACGGAAACATTGAGAGCCCATTAAGGGAAGAGACGCCCAGTGGGTCTCCTCCTTGCCCAGCTGGTCCGGCAGCTCCTCCTGCGCTGCCTCTGCCCTCCGGCCAAGCGCAAGGCGGGGCGCCACTGCCCCTGGCACGGGCCTGTCAGCGCCTCCTCTCCAGGCTTCCAGGGACAGAAGCAGAAAGCCAGCTGCTCCAGCAATTGCCTAGTTGCATCCCAAATTGTAATTTTGTTCGCATGTTGACAAAATTTAAATTTTGTTGCTTTATCTTAATAAAAAGCACACAAAGGGAGCAACAAGAAGACGGGCTAAAAGCAGGGCATCCAAAGGGCGGCCGGCTCCGCAAAATGCGGCACGTCCTACAGGCACTGCCCTCCGCGCGGGGACTCGGTGCCAGCCGCGGCCCAAGCCGCCAGCGCCGGCACGCGCTCTGCTCCGTCCAGGGCACGGTCAGCCGGCAGAGCCGGGGCCTCTCACCCTCGTTGTGCTGCGCTCGGCGTTTCTCATCCCGGGTCGTTCGTGGAGCTTCCGACTTCCTGAGGACAGAGGAAACCAGGCCGGTGAGTGCCACCCTCGAATCTCAAGGGCAGGAGGGAAGTGGGCTTCTCGGGGGCCGTTTACAGGGGCCACCACCCAAGGGGACTGGCACCCCTGGCCAGCCCTCAGGGAGGTGCAGGTGAAAGCTGGCCACGGGTGCAGGAGCGGGGCGGCGTGCGAGGGGCTTTCCGGGCACTCACGGCGAGTAGGGGTGAGTCCTGGGCGCAATGGACCGCTGCGTCCCGCTCTGCAGAACCTCCTGCGGTGACATCATGACAAAAAATTGCCCTGCGTGATTCAAAGCGAGAGAGAGGGTTGCTGAGGGGCACATTCCCCACATCAGGGGCCTCCGGATGGCCCCCCCAGTTTTTAAAGTTTCACCTGCTTCCATTTTTACACCTGGAACGCACACGGCTCCCCGGCAGCTGCACACAGGCCTCAAGGAAGGCCGGGCTGTGGGGCAGCATCAAAGCAAAACAGCGGTGATCGCCAGGGAAGCCTCGATCGGAGACCACCAGGAGGTCCTCCACCTGTTTCATTACAGCAGGAGAGTGCCTCCCCATCCAAATTTTGGGCTGACAAAAGTGCAAAGAGAAGTCGTTTCCCCTCCACCTGCCGATTTTCACAAAAAGGGGCAATTGAGAACGTGGACATCAGTGAACAATAAAGACAGTTCCAGTACAAATGAAACTGTGTACGTATCATGACCGATTTCATTTCTACCCCGTCCAAGAGCCGAAGCTCCTCCGGAAAAGAGGGAAACCAGCAGACTGCTTGTTCAGTAGGAGAGCTAGCTGAAATGCGCCGGACCGTCTCTCTTTAAGGAGATGCTGCCGTGTTCAACAGACACGAAGGCAAAGGTTTTGGCTGTGAGGCGCAGCCGAGGATCGAGACCAGTGGCAATCCGCGCAGGCGTTCTGTGGCGGTGCCCCAGGCGCCTGGATTGCCCCTGGGTCTAAAACAGGTGGCAGTCCCAGCGAAGCGGCTCTGCAGAGGCTCCCAGAGCTGCCTCGTGGCACTGCCCACATCGCACCCGTGACCCGCAGCAACACTTTCCGCAGCGACAGGAACGCCCGTCCCCTGCGCGCAGCCGCTCACCTGCCTCCCTGCAGAGCCGGGCGGCCCGAGCTCCGAACTCTGCCAACCACGTCACGTGCGAGGGAGAACAGAACACCCACTTGATTCACTCACAGGACCCCAGTGGCTGGGACTGGCCGCCCTGGCCCAGAAGCCGCATGGCGGGCAGGGAGAGGAAGCCCCCCCCCCCGTGACAGAGGGAGAGGGGCTCCCTCAAGACTTCCCAGCGGGCCACTGGGGAGGGACGGTGGCCCTGGGCCCAGGCCAGAGCGAGGCTGCGCCCGGCGCATCGGCAACAGCGCGGCCGGCTCACCTGTGCCGGTGGGCGTGGCTTGCCCCAGCAGGGCTTCCGAGTTCTGGGTCGTCACCACCGCTGTGGCGGTGGTCCCTGCCCCGGCGGATGTGCTGGTATCGGCCACCGCGGCGGCCGGGTAGTACGTGTAGTGGGTCTCCGTGGCTGTCGCCTCCGTCTCAACGGCATCCTCGCTCGTGAACGCGCCCTGGATGACTGCCTGCGGGGAGGCGGGGACGAGCAGGGTCACACAAAGCGGCAGCCCAGACGTCATGCTCTGGGGCCGGGGAAGCGGCTGCACTGGCTGTGCCTGGCCCGCCTGGCCCACTCCTTGCACCACCGAGCGGCAGAAAAGCCTCTCCCGGGCTGCCGGCAGGAGGCGCTCCAGAGACGCAGCCACGGGCCTGACGTGGCGTCCTCCACAAGCCAAGCAGGAGCCTTACCACGGGGGCCCTCGGGAACCGTTCGGACCAGTGCCCACTGCAGCCCTAAGGGGCAGAGTACATTCCCTCATCGGGGTCGTCCCATCCCCACCCTGGCGGGTGCCCACAACAGCGCTCAGTCCTTTGACCGGGTGGCAGGGCTGGGGAGGAAAACCGCCCCTCGCCTGGGAGCTACGAGACCTGCAGGCAAAGCTGATGGGGGAGCTGTCGGGGGTCTTCACATGAAGGCCTCCCTCTACCCCCAACAACAGCTGCACTGGCTCAGCGCAAAGCCACGGTGCAGGGCCAGCAAGGGGCAGCCGAGCGCCCACCGCTCCGTCGCGCCCCCACTGCCCACTGTTCAGAGGGAGAGGCGGGGCGTGTTGCCCGCCGCCTCGCCACACCGTCACCACTCCCCTGGGAACATGCACCACGCCTCCCCGGAGGCCCTGGCAGTGAGGTGGGCTGCAGCCAGCGGGATCCTGGGCCGGGCCGGCCACACGCAGCCTCGGCCGTTGCTGCATCCGCACGGTCCCCGCCCGCCCCACACCGCAGGGACTCTGCTGCGCAACAGCTCCTGGGCAGGGCGCGGAGGGTCCATGCCTGCCACGACAGGAGCGCCGCCTTCCCTGCTGAGATCCCAGGGCGGGAAGGTGTTGCAAAGCAGCTAATGCAGCTCCACCAGCATCCGAAGTTGCTCAGCCCAGACCTTGGTCTCATGGGTTATGGAGCACCCAGAAGGGGGCTGGGCAGGAATCGTGGGAGCTCGCACCCTCCTCTGCCCCTTCCCATTGGCTAGCACAAGCCGAACTGAGCAAATTAACCAACACCACACAAGTGTGCACAGTGAATTCAAGCGTGGGCGCAGAGCCCCCAGCCCCTGCCCAGAGCCCGTGGCCCCTCCGTTAAGACCCTGCACAGGCCCACCTGCCGTCGGAGCAGCAGCCTGGATGCGGGAACGCCGTGCAGCAGGCACCGCCCCAGCCCTTCTGCCCCAGGGACCAGCCTCCTCCCCTGGGCTTGCCAGCGAGTACCCACCTGCGTCATGGACTGTGCTGCGGGATAGCCGCTGATGGCCCCGCTGCCCTCCGTCTGCCCGTCCAGCTGCCCCTCAGCCACCTGAATTACTCTGTACATCAGCTGAAAGAAGACCGAAGAGCCCGTGCTGTGCGCTTTGGCCAGCACATGGGGCGTGGGCCCCAATCCCTGCTCATCTGAATGAGCCTCTGCCGGCCAGCCTAATTTATTTATCATGAGGATAAAATGGGTTGGGGAGGAGAAACATCACTGCCAGCCAGCATTTCCAGAAGGAAGGTAGAAACATGTAAGAGGCAACATTAAGGCCTGGAGACCCTCCCTAAATGACCCCAAGCAGCCTCCGAAACCACCTTCCCTGCCTCGCTTCCAGGAAGCAGTTCCAGGATAGGGCTGACAAACTCCCACAAGAGGCAATGGAGGCCCCAAGGAGCAAGGGCCAGCAGGCCCCGCCTAACAGGGCACGGGAGGTGAGGGAGCCACCTTTCCTGGCTCTCGGGATGCGCTGGTCCGCTGCCGAAGGGGCCCTTCTCCCTCCAGAGCAGAGTAGGCCACCTTCAGGCTTGCAGGGTCTGCTTGTGGCCTGGCGCAAAGCTGTGGCGTGGGCAGGCAGGTGCTTTGGCGCACGATCAGGGACCATGCACGGAGCTCCCGTGGGAGGAAGTGGCGAGGACGACTTGCGGTCGCTGCATTCACTGGGCGACTGCCGGGCAGAACCGCCAGCCGTGGCGCATGCTCCACCTTCCGCCCACCCCAGCAGTAGCAGCACCAATCCCCCCGTGCTTCCCCACCCTCCACAGAAACGATGGAAGAAGACAATCCGGCAGGGGATGGGCGAGGGGAAAGATGCCTCCTCTGAGCCACACACACGTCCCCCAGGAGGAAGGCGACGAAGGCCCGAGCGGGAGGCTCGCCACTCCTACCTGCGCGCCCCCGTTCTCTGCCCGGAAGACATATTTGATGTTGGGGTCAGGAAAGGTGGCGGCCGACTGGATGCTGGCGATGGCCACGCTGGTGGGATCTTCCCCGGTTGCCACTGCACCTTCAGGGAGGGAGAGAGAGGTGCTGCCGCAAGGGGGGGATGCCCGTCGCACCCTCCAGGCGCCAGAGCTCTACCCCAGAGGGCAGGGACTGGCGGGGCAGAGCAACCGTTGAGCTTCCTTGGGGAGGGGAAGGGAAGCCCAGGCTGTCCCACAGTCAGAAGTGGGGGGACGGGGTGTGCTCACCTTCCTGGATTTGCACCGTGCCCTCTTCTGTCTCCGTCACTTTCTGCTGCCTGCGGAAAGGAGAAGGAACGGGTGGGTTGGGCCACAAGGGGGAGCCCTCGGGAACCAAGCGGTCCTTTCCACCCTGCGCATCTCTCTCCTGAGGACAACCGCCTTTCTGGGGGCCAGCTCAGGAGGAAGCCCCGCAGCTCCAGGGCAAGGGTGGCCTGGGATGGGCCTGTCCATCCCAGCACCCTAAGAGCAGGCTCCCTACTTAAATAGGCTCACCTGGCGCCCACTACAGCACTGGGAAGATCTTAATAATGCATAGTTTGGACAATTTCTTTCATTATTTATTACATTTCTATACTGTCCATAGCCAAAGCTCCCTGGACAAGGTGTAAAAGCAATAACATAGGGGGAAACCATTAACAAGAATTTTAAAATGGTTTAAAATAGCATAAAACATTAAAACAATAAAAAGACAATTAAAAAGATCAGGCCAAGAGTCAAAGAAAGGCAGCTGGCTAATTCTATCAGGCCCATGTTGCTCTTTAGAGGCCTCTGCAAAGAGGGCTGTCTGAACCCGGCACCAAACAAATGGCAGATTTGGCACCCGGCAGCCACAGCAAGGTTATTCCGAAGGTGGGGGCCACCACTGAAGAGGCCCGCCCCAGCTGTCACTCTCAGGGCTTCTCAAGGGGTTGGCAGCTGCAGGAAGGCCCCGGTCAGGTAGATCAGGGTTGGGAGAGACACTCCAGCAGGTACTGCAGCCCCTTGACTTTGCAGGTCAAGACCCACACCTGCACTCAGCGCAGAAACGTGCAGCCAAAGCAGGTGGGCCAGAACTGGCCTTCCACGTTTGGACTTCCAGGTCCCAGCTAGCGATCTGGCTGCCTTCGGAACTGCCTTCAAGGGCAGCCCCACTGCAGCAATGCAATCCAGAGACTACCAGAGCATGGACTATCCCTGTCCGGGCAGGGGCACAGCCGGGCCACCAGCTGAAGCTGGCAGAAGGCACTCCAAGCCGCCAGTGCCACCTGAGCCTCGAGTGACAAAGACGGATCAAGGAGCAGCCCCAGGCTACAGTGGGGTCATGTGTCCTTGGGGGGAATGTGACCCCATCTAGAACAGGCTAAACACCCCCCCCCCCCCCCCCCAAAGGGGTCACCCCTCAGCCTTGCCTGGACCGAGTTTCAGTCCGCTAGCCCTCAGCCAGTCCATTAGCATAGCCAGACACCAGTTGAGCACAGTCACCGCCTCACCTGTCGATGATGAAAAGCTGCCTGCGGTCAGCATACCGATGGCACACACTCCAAGACTCGGATGACCCCGCTCGGCAGTCTCATGCAGATGCCAAATTACCATTCTGATCGCACTACCTTTCTAAACCACCTGTAGCTGCAAACTTTCTGGGTGGGTCCAACATTTTAAGCTCAGATTTCAGCCAGGCCTGACCCTGCTGAGCTTCCAAGATTAGGCAGGATCAGGCATAAATAGCAAGGGGGACGGAATAGGCTCCTGAGGAACTCCATGCTGGAGAATCCAGAGGGCTGAACAGTATTCCCTAAGCACTACCTTCCGGAGACAGCCCTTCAAGTAGGAGGGGAACCCCTGAAATGCTGTGTCCCCCATTCCCACCTCAGCCAGTCACTACAGGAACCCTGGAGCTGATGGCGTCAGCAATGCTGAGAGGCTCAGTGACACCGAGAGGGCCAAGGCTGTTTCCAGGCCCAAACCAGGCCTGAAATCCAACAGAAATGGATCCAGATAATCAGCCTCCCCAAGAATGCCTGCAGTTGACTGGCAGCCTTGCCCAGGCCAGGCCTGCAGTTCTTCAAATGTTCTGGGTCAAGGGAGGGTTCCTGAGAAATGGTTTCACCAGCCGCTCTTTAAAGCGGCCTGCGACCACCCCCTCTTGCAAAGGGGTACTGAGGGGTAACCCTTCCCTGCTGGCTTTTATAAGCCAGGGGGGCAAGGATCCCGCACAGAGGTGATCGTACAGACCTGCCCAACCACTCTGTCCACATCCTCGAGCTGCACTGACTGAAACTCATCCAGTAAAACTGGATCAGAGTGTGCTCTGGATCTCTCCCCCGATTCAACTGCAGTAACTCTGGAGTCCAACTCCTGGTGGATGCAGCAGATTTTTCCCCTGGAAGTGCCCAGTGAGATGATTACAGTGGGCCAGCTAAGCCCTGGGCAAGCTTGAAAAGCTCCGCGAGGTGGCAAGGAGAGGACTCGGTAGTGGCAGTGCTTCTTTGCCGCCCTCACTGCCCCAAACACACCCAGCAGCAGGCCCACAGCCAGGCTTCTGGTGCATTCGCTGGGAGTTCTCCAGCTGCCTCTTAAGCTCTTCGCCGCCCTCGGCTCGGCAGTACACCACGCAGCTGCAGGAGCCCTTCCACGGGGAAGGCACTTAGGAGCGACCGTGCCAACTGCCCGGGTACTCCAGAAGTCCACCAGGGCTTCGACAGGAGCACCAGCCACGTCAGCCGGAAAATCCCCCAGAGCTCTCTGGCAACCAGGACACCCTGCGCTGCCCTGGGGTGCCCTCAGTAGGAAGACCGACAGCCAGGGGCACTCCGACAGCACCGCATCCGAGGCCACCTCCATCGGCCCAGGAGGAAGACCGAGGGGTTGCGGGGCGGTCGGTGAGTCACCAGCAGAATCCCCAGTCGGTCCCACTGGCCCACACAAGGTGCAAACATTCTGGAGTGGCTGTCAGACGGACGAGAGAGATGGGGTTCCTACAGAACACAGTACTGCCCTCCCCGCCCCCACATCTACCCCAACGCTGAACTGAGTGCCCAGGGGGCATGGCTGGCAGAGGCTAACTGCTCCCTGTTCGCCCCCCCAGGTCTCAGGCACGCCCGCCAGTTCGGCCGCCTCATCCATGATTCAACTGCGAATGAGGGAGGGTCGATTCTGCACCAATCTGGCCATCAGAAGCAGCACCCAGAGACCCGGGACGACGGCATGGCAAGCATCACGCCCTGGTGGTGGGGAGGACCGGAACGCGGCACAGCTGCTCGCTGCCTGGGCCAAGTTCTCCTGACCCGGCCAGGCCTCCTCCCAGCGCTGCATCTCCCTCTACTTGCTGCTGCACTGACTGGGACCCCCATCTCCCCTCTTGGCCCCACAGACTCCCTCAGCCAGGGAGGTGGTGGGACAACCAGAAAGGCCGCCTCCCCCTCGCGGCATCCTGAGGGAGCGTGCCCACTTGGCGGCCACCCCGCAGCCCACCACCCAGCAACAGGCTTGGCTTTAGCCTGGGGCAGGGGGGGGGGCTGCTGGAACAGCCCTGGGTGCAGGTGCTGACGGACTATGCCGGGTCAGAGGAGAGCTGGGACCTGAAAGTTGGCAGGTGGGGGGGTGGTTGTAGCAGCTGATCTTAAAGTGCCACAGGCCTCTTGTCCACCGGCCCCGGTCACACGTGCAGAGTGCCCCGACCAGAGGCTTCTCAGCCCAGCAGCTGCTTTGATGCTGGGCAGGGCTGCTGGGACAGCCCTCATTGCCGTAATGCTACTGCTTTCCTCAGATCGTATTTGCAGGTTTCCTACAGGCCTGAGTTTTCCAAATTCTAGCTATGTCTTGCTTCTTATGCTAGCAGTCGCAAACCCCCAAAACAGGAAAACTGGGTGTGAGCACAAGACAAGCACTCCAAGTGCTGCGGCCTCGGGCAACCTGCCCGCAACATCCCCTCTCAGGAAAGGCTGGAAGCTGCCTCCACCCAGCAGGGGGGCACCGGTCTGGCAGGCCTGGTACCGTCGACACAAACGGCAGCGGCTCTCCAGGGATCCAAGCAGGGATCCCATCCCGCCTCCCCTGCCCCCTGCCCCTTTCTGAAGATTCCTCAGGCTGAACCCTGCAAGCAAAAGCCGGCCCTCTGCCCCCTCTCCCCCCACGCTCTCTTCTCAGGAACTTCTGAAGCGTTGCGGAAGGCCTGGAGCACCTTCAGGGCAGACAGGGCAGGCAGAATGCCAGGCTAAGCTAGCCCAGAGCACGCCCCCCAAAGAGGGGCTCGCAGGGTGCACTGCGACCCCAGCTGCAGCAGGTCTCTGTGGGGGAGCTGCCATCGCCTTCCTCCGGCTCGTCTTTGCCGCGGATGGTGCCGCACGCCCGCTGCCGGCAGGGCAGTCCCACCCAGGCTGCCCGAAAGACCCAAGCGAGTGGAGGAGGGGGAAGAGCTGCGAGGCGAGCGCCGGAGTCCCGTGGGCCCTGCGTGGGGAACAAACGTGGGGATCTGAAAAGCCGAATGCGCCCAGCACTGCCACCTACCTACACGTCAGCAAGCAAAGGGGCAGATGGCACCAGGTCCCCTATGGAAAAAGTCCTGAGTGCAGAACCTTTCTATGGAAGGAAGCACAGAAACATGCAAAATTCTGCTTTCTTTAAAGCAAGCTCCAGTCCCTGTTGGCCGTGGGCGCAAGGGCAAAGCTTTGTGAAGCCCCTAAGAAGGGCCCTGGTCACTCCCATGGTCAACACAGCCAACATTAAACTAGACAGCCAAAGTGGCAAAATTAATCAAAGAAGATAGCTCACAGTGCTTCGTTTCTGGGAACTGAACTGCATGGTCAGAGCTGTGTTTCTTCAGCTTTAAACTGAAAAGTGGTTTATGGTTGTTTGAGAAGCCTGGCAACCTCCAATTCCGACAATGCAATTAGCCTCCCGCACGGTTCCATCCCTGCCCTCCCACGAAGCAGTGACTGGAGAGCCTCCAGCCGAAGGGTGCCTCGTTCTGGTAAGACTCTGTTTTCCCCTTCCTGTAGCACTAGAACCGGGGCTCCACCTGTGAGTGAGCACTGGGTTCAAGAGAGGTAAGGAAGAAGTGTGCCGCCACACAATGCACACCAAGTACGGACAACTCACCACCAGCGCAGGGAAAGGCACCTCCTGGCCTCGATGCCCCAGAGAGGGGTGTGGTGGCCAAAAGCAGGCCATGGAGATCTGGTCACCCCTCCACCCTGAGGATCGGTGGCCAGTTCTGGGCTAGGGATGTCCGCTCTGCTCAACGCACCCCACAGGACGGTTGCTGTGAGCACAGAAACAAGAGGGAAGGGAACTATGGAAGCTGCTTTGGGCTCTTCCCAAGAGGAAACAATAGAAACACCACAGAGGAGGAGCCGACAGCTGTTATGGACAGCGGCCGGCTACTTTGCACCTTGGCCATTCCGGCAGGTTCCCAATTTGGCACCATGCTCTGCATGTGAGCCCCCTGAAGCGCCTGGAGACAAGACGCCCAAGGAATGCTTGTTTGGATCCGGCAAGGCTGCCGTTACGTCCCGGCGGATGTGCCAGCCACCCACAGCCAGCAGGGCCCTCTGGAGGGCGCCTGGCTGGGGAGGGATGTCCAGCGCCACGAGCCAGGGAGGGCTGAAAGGGGCAGCCCACTAGCCCCAACAGTCCCTCGAGCATCTCCAGGGATCTGCTTCCCCTCAAAACCCCAGGAAGGGCCGAGGAGAGCACCCGGGTGGCCCAAGTCCTGAGCACCTCCGAGCAGTGGCAAGCCCAACCCTGCCCATCTGCCTCTGCTGCTCCCGGGAGGAGGACTCCTGAGACAAGCAGCAGGGAAGCATCGTGGGGGTATTCCAGGACGCTCACAGCATTAGAGGTACATCCCACTTTTTCAAAGAACTCAGAACAGCTTACATCAAATCTCCTGCTGCTCTCAGTCCTATCCCCACAACAACCCTGTGAGGGAGGCTGGGCTGAGCGTCTGTGGCTGGCCCAGAGTCTCCCAGCTGGTCCATGGCTGAGCAGGGGCCAACACCTGGCGCTCCGAGATCCTTAGTCCCGCCACCTGCAGCACGTGGGCTCTCACCACTGTTCCCGTTAGGCCAGGGATCCCAGCCAGAGGAGTCAAGCTGCAGAAGACAAGGCCCACACGGCTCTCCCTACCACCCTGAGCATCGCAAGGTTTCTACCCATCTACAGCCTCCTCACTCAACCTGGTACCCTTAGACAATGAACACCACTGACCAAACCTGCTTCTGCATACGGCTGCCGACAAGCCCGTTGACTGGGGTTGGAAGACACCTCTCCTAACACACAAACAGGCCTGCAACTTGCCAGATCTCCTCCCTGCCCCGTTCACATATGCAGGCCATTCCTGTGAAACTTTTCCCAGACCATCAATACCACGGAGATGGAAGTCAATCCCTTGAGTAAACTGGGTGCAAGGGTTTTCCCTGGGGCCAACATAGTTTATTTGCACTGGTAGCTGAATTTCATCAGTGGTTACAGGTGACCATTTGCCAACAGATAACAGCAATTTGAAGGGGAGTGGGGACTAAAGGAATGAGATTTTGGCTAACCTTCCTAACAGTAAGGGCTGCTCAGCAGAGAAACAGACTTGCTCAGGAGGCACTTAAGCAGAGGTTGGCGAGCCATCTCTAATGAAGCTGGAGCTCCAATAAGCAGGGGGCTGGACTAAATGACCTCAAGTAATTTTGCTGCAAGGTGCCAACACCTTTATTTCAGTTCAAGGAAAGTCAGGCTTGCCACGTTGCTCACTCTAGCCACTTGGGCACTCTTTTCCCCAAAAGGAGCGCCCAAAAGCATGGCAAGCCAACTGCCGTGCTGGCCAAGCCAACCAGATGCCCCAAGGGAAACCCAGGCGTGGGAGACAACAAAAGCGGTTTCCAACTGTTGCTCCCAGCGCTGGCACTTAGCGGCATTTTCTCACCCCTTCATTTCTTCACTCTGTTATGCATCAGAAGATTAGCATCTGCTTTCCCCCCTTGCTTCTTCAGAGTCGTTTCGCCGAAACCCTGAAGAGGAAAGACATACATTCATTAATGTGGTAGATTCATCAATTGACATAGATATCAATTAACTGCTGATATGCCGGCAAACCTTAGATGTCATCAAGTAATAAAACTTGACAAGGCAGCTTACAACACTGACTATAAACTGCAACACCTCCTCTAGCAAAGAATAAAACCAGTGTGAATAAACTCTTAAACAACACCAGAAAATGCTTTAAGTATGCCTGACAGATAAGAGTCCCCATTTAGCCAAGCCCTTGCATATAAAGGTTCCATTTCCAAAACAAAACTTGCCCTCTTTCCATTGTCATAACTATACTGTCATTGTACACACAGGTTGCAATTTTAATAAAAAGCTTATAGTATTTGTTTATCCATAAAAGGTATTTCTACATCGCACTTTCCATTCCACTGGGGCACCCAGAGAGCTCCAAATTCAAGTCTCAAACAATAAAACCAGCAAATGAACATGTTCATTAATAGTAAAAGCCAAGATTAACAAGCGAGAACAGTCAACGTTAAGGAGAGGGCCAGAAAATGCACAACTGACTGAAAGGGCTTTTGATTTCCCACCAAAGCCGCCCCCTGCAAGTGGCAAGCCAGCCCACACAACCTCCAGTCTTGGCAACATGAAGAAGCCCTGCCCCATGTCTCTGCTCTTCCCATCTCACAGGGAAGAGCTGCACAGGCAGGTCCACATGGAGGAGACAATACGACAGCCCCAAACAATTTAGGGCTTTCAAAGGAACGCACTGATGTTCTGGGACTGGAGCCAATGCCACCGAGGCAACCTACAACTGGCCTCCAGTCGACCACTACTGAATTTTGTACCAACGGCACTTTACAGACATTTCTCAAGGGCAGAACCTTGTTGAGCACATTGCAGTAGCCTAATCTGGAAGCAACTGGAGCAGGAGGTCTGCTCTCCCTGGGCAAGACCACAGAAAGGCCACGAGTAAAGTGACTCCCCAAAACGGGAGCAGCCCCAGGGTGGCGTGTTGTACCTGGAATGCCCCGGCCATAGCAGGAGAGTAAAGCACAGGAAAGGGCAAGGTAAAGCCACTCCACACCTTCGCCTTGCTATACTTCTCCCCCCGCCCTTCCATCACCTTCCTCCAAAATGCAGTTATTTAGCCACAGGAGTATAAATGTAGGCCTGGCTTTTTACACAGTATAACAAAGCATGCAGCAGTAACCCTGCATAAATCAATAAAGAGGATGACTGACCCAACAGTGGAGAGACTGTAGGAGAGAAAGACAATTTATCAAAATTGATTTGCACCAAGAACACACTTCTCTCTTCCCAACCTCCACGCTAGCACGTAAGGTATGCAAACAATTCATCTCTTCCACACACACCCAGACAATTCCAAGACTCGAGCAGGAATGTCTCCAGAACATTAACCTATCCTGAACTTTAAGAAATTGTTCTGCCCTGTAAAACGGTGCCGTGAAAGTATTAAGCAACCCCACCACACCCTGCTTTCCAACTCCAACCACGCTGTAAACAGTGGTGAATCGCGGGGCTCCAACAGGGCGAGGACTGTGGAAGTCCTGGGTACCAGCCAGGCTCAGCCTCCCTGTAGCACCTTTCACTTGACTCACTCTTTGCTTATTAATTTCATTTCTATACTATCCAGTAGCCAAAGCTCTCTAGGAAGTTTACAAGAAGACACAAAATGAAACATTAACGTTCCTGCCAACCTTGCTGTTCAAAAGCATACAAATGCAAGTAGATAAAAATGTACCACTTTGGTGGGAAGGTAACAGTGTTAAAGTACAGTATAAATAACATAAAAGTGCTAAAAGAGTTAAAATTAAAGTAGCTTTAAAATACAGTAAAATATTTTAGTCTAAGCAAAAAGATCTACAAAGATAATCCCCTCAAATCCCTGGGTGACCAAGGTGATCTTTAAGGGCCACCATATACAGGAGAGTCTCGACCTGGAACCAGAAAAACAGCAAATTTGGCATCGGGCAGGATGCAGCAGGGAGCTTGTTCCAAAGACGGGCGGGAGGCGCACCACGGAGAAGGCCCTTCCCCTTGCCTGGCCAGGGCTCCTCCCCACGCAGCATCTCCCTCTATCCATCACTACGCTGATTAGCACACCCACCATCTCCCATTATTCCCATTTCTGAGAGCACAGTTGGTGACACTGGGAGGACGCTGCGGCACTTATGCCCTGCTTGGGCGGGGGGGGGGGTGCCCCGGGAACACCTGGCTGGCCACTGTGTGAACAGGAATTGGACCCTCTGTCCAACCCAGTCCTCCACAGCGAAACACAAAGCAATCCTGGCCCTCCCTTCAGTTTCCCTTCCATTTGCATGGAAGGATGCTCGCCATGCAGGGCCGCTGCAGCAGGAATAAGTCCAGTCCAGATCCGGCCGGAATATGCAGCACGACGGCCGGCAGGAGCAGTCCTCGTCCTCCGCCTCACTTAACTCACGGGGTACTCGCGAGCAGAAAATGCAGAAAAAGAGAACGCTTCCTGTTCGATTTCTCTGACCGCCCCCCGCCGCCAACAGGCGAGGCGCTCTGGCAGGCCTCCGCGCTGCCTCGGGGTCCCGGCAGGGGAGGGGCGGCCCATAAAATGCAGCAAGGCATTCAAAGCGCCTGCAGGGCCCCCCATTCCCCAGCCGTGCTTCGGGGCGCCCGAAGAGCCAGGGCGGCGTGGCGAGGCGTGGAGGCCCGGGAGACGCGGTTCGGGGCCCCACTCAGCAGGGAAGCTCACTGGACGACCGCGGCCCAGCCGCGGCGTGGCCTACCTCACAGGGCTGTTGTTGCGAGGATACAACGGAGGCCCTCAGCAGCCGCTCGCGCGCCTACGGCGGAGGAACCGCGGCTGGGCGGACGCGCAGCGGCGCCCACAAGGGGACAAAGCCCGCGCGCGGCGCCCCCGCGCGGACCCCTCCGGGCGACACGGGAGGCCACCCCCGCGGCGAGGAACGGGGGTCGCGCCGGCCCCTCCCCCGCAGGGGGGCGGCCAGCGGGAGACGCGGAGAGGCGGCGGCGCGCCGGGCCTGCGGGAGGGATGGCGCGGCCCCCTCCCGCCGCCCCTCGCAGAGGCCCCGAGGGCCGCCTCACCTGGCCTCCCCGTCGTCGCGCTCGCCCCTTCCCTCGCCATGGAGATCAGCGCATGCGCACCAAACGCCCTCACTTCCGCTGCCGTCCCCTCCGCCCCGCCCATAGAGCCGCCGGGAGGGAACGGCAAAGCCGCGCGGGTCCCGACGGGCCGCTTCCGGACCGGCGCGTCGCCGCTGCAGGCGCTCAGAGGGCGGCCCCCACTTCCGGTCGCCGCCATCTTGGGGAGGATCCGGGCCTTTGCCAGCACCATCTTGGTGAGGAAGCGCGCGGCCTCTCTTTCCGGGGGCTCCCGGGGACGAGCCTCCCTTTCGGGCCTGGGCCGTTCTTTCGAAGAAAAGGGCGTTTGGAGACTTCGCAGATCCTTTGTATGAACACGCAAAGAAACGCACACATACGAGAAAGTCAGCTAGCCTAAGTCAAGGCACTGCCAAAGCCAGAGATCGCCTTCGGGGTGCGTCATCCAGCTGTGCGACTCACTTCCGACGAGCGCCATTTTAGTAATGGGCACCGGCTTTAGTCAGCATCGTCTGTCGCGCATAGCCTTTTTCTGTAACCCGTTGCAAAAAGGGCCTGTGCGCGGCGCTGCCATGTTTATTGTGGGCAAAGGGCCGCCTTCTCGGGTTGTTTTCTCACAACTCTTTTCATGGTCTCTGCTTGCACAGGAAATGGTTCCATTACAGCAAACAGCTGTCCTTTCCAAGCCCTCAAAGCCAAAAAAGAAAAGCCTGCCTGCATAGCTGTACCACATTAAGGGCATGACTGATTTGAAAATGTCTGTAACTGGAAATGGGGTCTCTGAACCCGACTAGGGTCGTTGTAATGCTGTCTTTGCAGGAATCCCCGGCCGTGTTTGTTCTGTGTGTATGCATGCACACAGTGGACGTTACTGCTTTGTTTACTGCCTGCCCGTGTTCTGCCTAAACTCTCAGGGAGACCAGGGGTCCATCTGGTTCAGTACTTTGTGGAAAAGCTACATGAAAGGCTCAAACTGCACCCTCTTGCCCATGTTCCCCAGCATCTGGTGTCTCTGTGTCTGCATGGAGCAGTTTGTTGAAGCCAGTCTAAACAACTACTTCCAGAAACCCTGTTTTTACCCTCTGAAGGGCCTGTTGGGAAGTGAGCCCACCTCTCCTCTAGCTGGCATTGCCTCCTCTCCTGACACCACGTCGTGGGGTCGTGTCAGGTGTGTCTGACTCGGAGAGCTCCTCTCTCATGCCCCACCTGACGCCTGGGCATCTTGGCTATTCTTGGAGCCCGTCCAAGTGCTTGGGGAGAGTGCCCTTGAGATAAGCAGCGCTTCGCATCTCGGAGCCCACGCCCCCTCCATCCCCGGCCCGTCATCCTCTGTCTTTGAGTCCAGATCGGAGTGACCCATAAGTGCGCACTAAGAACAGCAGCCACCCTCGTTCCCAACACCCATTCCTGCTGATCCTGGGATGCCTGCCAAGCATGGTGATTGGCTGCACTCCCTCCTAGTACTGGGAACTGAGATCCCTGCTTGGAAAAAACCAAGGAGAAACATCAGTGTTGATGTGATTGGAAACATTAAGGTCAATGGAAGATCCTTGGATGTGTGAGGGGATGTCACACGGAGGTGGGGAGAGACCTGTTCTCCCATGCAGAGGAAGGCAGGATGAGCTCCAACGGAGCAAAGCTCAGGGAACCCAGGTTCCATTTGGATGCCAAGAAGTACTTCCTGACAGGACCCCGAGGGTGTGGGATGGGCTTCCCCGGGAGGTCGTTGAGGCCCCATCGGTGAGAATATGCAAGGATAGGCTGGACGTCCACATGGTGGGCATGTCGTGAGCGGAGCCGGCTGGTGCCGGAGGTCAGGCTAGATGGCCCAGGAGGTCCCTTCTGACTCACTCTGTTTCTATGTTTCTATGGCCCCATTCGCATGCTCAGTTGTGCCCAACAGCAGATGGTTTTGCATCAGAGGGGCAGTGGTTTTGTGAGAACCAGAGAAATATCAAAGGACCTGATCCAGAGAACCTCATGGCAGGGCCCAGACACCTTACCCTCCAGGACGCCCCTTCTGACTTGCTCTGTTTCTATGTTTCTGTGGGCTTGAGAAGTCCCAATATCTTGTTGCTTAAAGAGTAATCGACTTGGAAATGCAGTCGAAAGAGTAATCGACTTGGAGACCTCCTGCTAATAAAACTCATTCATCGTCAGCCTACTGCAATTGTAGTAGCTGTTAGAACACTGGGATTCCACAGCTTCTTATCTGTACACCTTAAGTACAGAAGAACATGGGGCTTTGGCCCCCTTTAAGGGGCTGCCCTCAGCAGTTTTAAAAGGATGATTTATTAAGACTTCAGTCAATGAATGGTTACATTTTTGTGGTGCCGGAGCAGTAGAATTGGTTGAGCTTGTTTTCCCAGAGAGTAGTTAAAACGCCATGCATATGAAAAGTGGACACTGTCCATGAAAACAATGGACAAAATCAATTTGCCAATACTGCATTTGACTGGGAAAAGAAGTAAGAACGAATGTGAATTGTCTGCACACTCTCAAGTACTGCGCTCACGTTGACCCATTAATTTATAAACAAGCAACTCCACAGGGTTTTATATATCACAGAATTGAAATGCAAAACCACACATACTCTTTCTGGGGAACGGATCTACAAACCAGGAAGCCTTGGACAGAGCCCATCTGTAGGGGCAGTCAAGACTGGCTCCTTTTTCATTACTACTTGGATCCTCCCTCTGCTAGACCCAGAAACAGTGAAGGAGGGAGTCCGTTTTGTGTGCAGCTCCTCCAGCTGGTGGAGCTTGTGGGGCGGTCAACCCTGTCCTGCTCACCTGGCCGGACAATAAAGGAATGGGATATGCCCCTTTGCTCTTCGGTGGCTCCGTTCCCTCTCGTCTCCTTTTCCACTTGTGTGTGTTGCATGTACAGAGACATTCTGACTTCGCGGGATACTTCCAGATCAGTGTCTGGAGGGAGTGACCTTAATTAATCTAGTACTTCACATGCTTAAACGAAGAGCTAAACCACTCGTTGCTTCCGAGTTACTATAAGCTTCAGAGCAAACGGTGGTGTGGAGAGCAGGGCCAAAGATCTGGGATCACATTCATACGTTGCGAAAAGTCTGCTTAGCTGCACACCAAGCAATCCGTTTTAATTGCCAGAGAAACCAGACCCTGGGCTTGCTTCCACAGGAAATACATGCATTTCAAAGTGGGGAGTTCAATTTAAAGCAGCTTGCCTCCAGTTGGTCATTTCGATGAGCAGGACACTTGAGACTTCCTGCGTTCCAACTTGCTGGATGCCGTTTGGCGCTCCTCCTAAGCAGCTGATTCTTCCGGGGACATCGCCCCCCTTCCCATCCACGGCTCCCTTCCATGTGCTTGTGGAACGCAGCCTGGGGAGGCGCCCCCTGCGGCTGCGGCCCACGGGCTCCTGCAGGGCCGAGGCGGGAAGCGGGACGCCCCCAGCGCTGGCGCAGCAGGAGAAACAGCGCCACCTTCGGGCTCGCCTGCCGAAGAGAGTCACCGCCTTTCCTGGGGCGAGCTGTGAGAGGACTCCTCCGTCATGGCCGGGCACCGGCCGACCCTCGACAAGCCCGTCCTGCTCCTCGGCTGGGGGTCTGCGGGGATGGAGGGCTCTTCCTGGCTCGGGGGCCGCCGGCCGTCTGGGGAGGTCTCGGCCGGCGCCTGGGCCGCAAGCGGCTTCCCTGAAGCGGGCCCCTCTGCCACGGCCAGGCAGCTCAGGGGTCTCAGGGGCCGCTGTCCCAGGAGCCGCAGGGCGGGCTTCGGCTGAGCGGGAGGCCTCTCGGTCCCGGGCGGGCCCGGCAGGGCCTCCGAGTCTCCGTAGCAGTAGGTCTGCATCCTCCTCACGGGGGCCTGCGCCACGTGCCTCTCCTTGGCGAGGGCGACCGCCTCGTCGAACGACATGCTGCCCCCGTTGCGCCAGCTGACCCACCGCTGCTTCTGCGGGGCGGCCCCGCCAGCCTCGCCGACGCCCTTCTCCGGCAGAGCAGCCGGCGGGAGTTGCGGCGTGGAGGGCTCGCCTCTGCCGTCCTGGCCCGCGGAGTGCATGTTGGAGCTCCTCTCCGGGAGGGAGAACTTCACCGGAAGGTGCCCATCCCTGCCACGCGGACCGCCCTGGGGCCAAAAGCTGCACCCATCCAACAGGGAGATGTGGGGGCTCTGGGCCGCATCCCTGCCGCTCTCACAGTCCGGGCCGTAGTGCTCCAGGCTCACGGGCATGGAATTGCGCTGCTTCAGAAGGGCCCCGCCATCCCCGCAGCAGTTCCTGGAAGGGGCCCATGGCTCTGGAGCAGCCAGGAGGGGATCCGTGCTTGCACTGACACTTGCAGGGCCCCAGGGGGCGTCCAGGCTGACGGGGCGAAGGGGCTTGTGCAGAGAGCCTTTGTCAAGCCCGTTCTCCGTCTTCTTCCTGCAGTCCTGAGCTGGCGGTGGACTGGCCCCTGGCGTGGAGGCTTCCCTGGCTGGGGCTCTCGGTGTTAAGGCAGGAGGAATCTTCGCAAACTGAGGCTTTGGAGGCACCACCGGGAAGGATTTCACATGCTGGACTTTGATGGAGCTGGAGGTGAGTCTCATGTGGACGCTTCCATCGCAGAGGCCGTGCCTGAGGGCGTCTCTCTGGTCCGTGGGCGGTGCATGCCGAGGTTTCTGCAGCAGACTTTCTGGACGGCTGTCTGGAGAAGCAGCAGCCATTGAGATGGGGTCAATGCAGCTGTCAGGCGAAGGGGCATCTGGTGGGGCTGCCCCAGAGGAAGCTGCTTGCTCAGGATGCGGGGCAGGCGACACTGGGGGCAACGCTTTCTCAGATTGGTCGGTTTCAGAACTGCTGCCCAGCAAGGAGGAAGGCAGAGCGCCTGGCAGGGCAGGACCTTCCAGGGCTGAAGGCCCGTCTTCTGTCTGGGGAAGAAGGGCCACCCCTCCCCTGTGCAGCTGCTCTGCCTCTTGAAAGGGAAGCGCACAGCCCATGTGCTGGCTGGACATCCCAGCCCCCTCCTGGGGCGGCCCATCGGCCTCTGCACTGGGGGCCCAAGGGGACCACCCAGCCTGCTCAACGTCAGAAGCATTTGGAGCGTGTAGTTGCGGCTCGTGGTCAAAGCTGGATCGTTCTTCATGCTCCAGAGACAGGGATCTTTGGTGGGCTGATTCTGAGACTCCTGCAGGGCAAGCCGTTTGCCCCAAGCACTCCGCCCGCTCAGGCACATCCCTTCCATGGGTGGCGTCTACACCCTCTCCCTGCACCAAGCAAGGCTGTCCTGTGGCGGGCTCAGCTTCACCCTTCGCATGCATCTCCAGCTCAGTGGAAGCGCTTCCGGGATGTGGTGACACGCCCAACTCCTCTGTGGATGGGCTGGCTAGCTCTGGATCCGTGTGCGAGTCGACGAACCCCACGTCGTGGCCTGGAGGGCTACTAGGCTGAGCCTGCACTCCAGCTTCCCCGGAATGGGAGCCAGTTGGGTGTGCAGGTAACGCCCATCCAGCCAGACTGAAGGGCTGCTCTTCCACCACATTCCCTGGCGGAGGGAACTGTGGGGCCTGAGCCTCATCGGGCTGCAGGAGCTCCTGGAATTCCGTGGCTAAGGGGCTGAGGTCGTCAAAAGCGGTCAGGTAGACCTCTTCGTGGTCGGCCTCCTTGGGCGTGTCCTCCTCCTCTGTGAACCCCATGGCCAGGTAGTACTGGTCGTCGTCCTCCTCCGAGTGCTCGTTCATGCAGTCTTCGATGGACAAGTAATCCAGCTGCTGAACTCTGGAAAACATCTCCAGCTAGGAGTGAAGAAATCAGAGGAAGAAAAGGGAGCTTTAAAGAGGGGCCCAACACACACGCTTCAGCCTTCCCTTTCTCAAACTGATCCTTGGTGGTTTCCCCTTTTTAGTTAATACGTAAGTACAGAAATACAGCTGGAAAACCCATCAGGTTGCTCACAGATCTGACCTGGGGTAACCCAAAGCACCCCCGTGAGGTGGGTTCAGCTGCGGAGCCGTGGCCAGGCCCTGGGCGCTCCGCGGGGCTCCTGGCTGAGCGAAGGCTCGCTCGGGTCCGCGCTCCCCAAGAGCAGGGGCAGCCTGAGGACACAAGCCTTGTCTGTGCAACATGGGCTGCGGTGGCTGAAACCAGGTGCTTGTGGGGAGGGGAGCCGCGTGGAGGCTGATCCTGATCACTCAACCCTCATGCCAGGTGGGTGGGCGTGCTGTGAACTCTGCTGTTCAGACAGAGATTTGGGGACGGGGCAAGTAATTACTGGCACTGGGCATCCTCAGCACCAAAAGGAAGACCGCGTGCTGTTTCCATGCGCTGGCAAAAGGGGACTTGAGATTGTATCGCATTCGGGCTGATTTTGCCAAGGAAGCCATTCAATCGGGATGGAAGAACATTAGAACATTCTGTCCTGCCTAAGGACTTCAGGATGCGCTTGTACTAAGATTACCTGGAAACTTAACTCTCTGCATTGGCGCATGTGACTAGCAGGTGAGGAGGCTGCCTGCGCAACTTGGCAGCTGAGTTTGCCTCTGCCCGGCAATGCATTATTGTCCGCTGACTGCAGGTATCCTGGGGCTCCGGGCAATAGAGCAGCGGAGGTTCAAATGGCTGCCCTTTCCCACGAACCTCCTCACAAATTGAAACTGAGGTTCTGCCACCTGCGGGGTGGCCATGGGACTCACCTGCATCCCGTCTCCTATCAGTTCATTCATGAACCCGCTGCCCATGTCATCATCCATGAGCGACAAAGAGCCGACGCTGCAGTCCACCGACTCGGGCCCCACATCGGAGCCCTTGCAGGGCTGATTCTCATCCAGGCTGTCACCCAGCCAGGCATCTTGGCAATCCAAGAAGGAGAAGGTGTGTTGGACCTCCAGCGAAATCCGGGTCTCCTCCTCTGCGGCGGGATCTTCTTCTGGTATGCATGAAAGGCCAAAGTAAGGCTGGTGGATGAGCTGTGTCCTTTCCTGGACTTGGGTGGGCGGGCAGGCTACAGTTCCCCCTTCCCTGGTAGCCACTTGGCTGGACTACTGCAATGCACTGTGGAAAGGGCCTGGAACCTTCCGCTCCAGCTGCCGCTCGGTGTCCCGGCCCAATTCAAAGGGCTCAGCCGCTCTGGGCCAGGTTACCTTAAGAATCATCTCCTTCCATATATGCCTCCCCGAACCCCAAGGGTTTCCTCAGTGGACTTTCTGCAGGAGTCCCTTCCTAGAGAAGTCAGGTATGGGAGTGCCTACCTGGAGGGGGGTTTCTGTTGTGACCACCTGGCCCCCACGCTGCATCCCTCCTGGCACCTTATTTTCCCGGGACCTTTAGCACCAGTCCCTTTTAAAATCTGCATCAGGTGTATTTTAAATCTTGGTACTGCCAGTAGGTCTTCTATTTTATACTAGTCTTACGCGTTTAAGTGTGTATATTCTATTTATTTTAAATTGTTACAAACCACCCAGAGAGCTTTGGCTATTAGGTGCGCCCGCTTGGCTTCATCACTGGCTTTGAGCTCCTCTGATCTCCTGTGACTTGTGGCCTGACCTCATGCCTATGCTGGGCCGTCACTGCCACTCTCGGGCCCTGTAAGCGCTGCTTCCGCAGGAATCCGGGCCCGGGACCTGCTCTTTGGCTCTGGCCCCACAGCTCTGACACCCACTGGCCCTGTCACACTGCCCCTGCTCTCCATGGGACACATTTCTGTGGAAAGGCTGGGTGTACTCACTTGCAAGCCCTTCCTTATCCAGGGCGGCTGCGGGCACCGGCCTCATCTCAGCTTCCTTCTGCTCAGAAGACGGCTTGTCGGTGGCCCCCGCGGTCTCGGGGGCCTCCTTCTCCCCGCTGAAGTGGCTCAGGGCCGGGCATTCCTGTCCCCGGGTCAGGCGGGACAAGCTGAGGTTGGAGGTGATGTGGAATGGGACCGTGACGGAGAAAGGCCCCGAGATGTGGACCCCAGCGCACTTCTCTGCCCTGTTATGCGTGGCCTTGGGGGAGCGGCCCTGGGGGGCCACCCCAACAAGGCTCGACCGGCTGACTTTGGGGGTGGTGGGCTCCGACTTGGCAGTGGCCTCGCCCTCGGATTCGCCGTGCACGTCCTCCACCTTGGCCTTGTCTGGATACTCATCTGACTCCAGGAAACTGCTGTCGAGCGAAACGGGGCCGTCAAAACCCTCACGGTCCAGAGTAAGTTGCTTCTGGGACTTCTTCCTGCCGAGCAGGGTGTGGTCTGCACCCAGAAGAGAGAAGTGGATCAAAACGAATCCAGGAGATGGGGGATCCCACCCAAGTTCGTTCAGTGCAAGCTTCCCACGGCCACTGCATGGCGACATACTGTGCTGTCGGATCACCCCGAGAAAGACAGTCACGATGGTCTCGCCTTTAAGTGACATCTCATTTAAAGGGAGGGGTTTGCTAAAGACCTTTAGGTTGCAACCCTAAACAAACGTACCGGGGAGAAAGCTTCACTGTCAAGACTTATTTTGGAGGAAACGTGATTAGGAACTGTGTGAATGTCCCTCGAATGATGGCAGAAGTTTGGAGAATGGATAATCCACCCACAGAGTGGATTTCAGGTGGCCTGGTTTGCACACAATGCAAATCAGGGGCTAATTTAACCCATGGGTAACCCATGGTTTGTTGCCCTAATGGTAGACTACTGAACCAAAGTTTTCTCAGTCTCTGGCTTGTCCCTTGCTTCCTTTTCCTGCCCTGTACAACACTGTAGCACCACCATGTTGAGTAGCTGAGCTTTTCCCCACTCGAGCCTGCCATCTCTGAGGTCTGGTGAAGCAACCCATGGCAACGGCGAGGGCAACCCATGACGGAAGCAAATTGGAATCGACAAGCACAAACCATAGGCTTCTGATTAGCAAATATTTGGCTGGGATCACAGACCAGAACCTCTGAAAGTTCAGCAGGCCGTGTCCTGGGTTGGTGTGATGTGCAACTGAGGCCTTTCTGCAAGCAAGCATGCTTGAATTTGGACCCCAGGGAGGCAGCCTCGGTCAGGGGCCTGGCTGGTGGATCGGCCACTCTGAAGCAGATACATTTGTCTTCAAATGAAGCAGATACATTTGTCTTAGCAAATAAAGCAGAAGTCACAGAAACGCGGCAGCTAAGCGCTCTCCTTTTCGACGGGTGCAGCGCTCTGGGCCAGGGGAGTCCTGCTCGGGCTGCATTCGGAGGCAAGAGGACAGGACGGGGTGGAGCGAAAGCGCCAGAGCTGCCGGCTCAGAGCTCCGTCTGTGGGCAGCTCAGCCTAGGGGTAGCCTCGCAACTGTGCAAAACGGGCGAAAAGCTGGGAAGCCCCCACCCAAACGTGGTGGGGGAGGGGCAGAGGCCCGGAGAGGCAGGGCGGCTCTCTGGGGAACTCCGGACAGACGGACGGAGGGTCTGGGCCCTGCTCTCAGGAGACCGAGCCCCCGCCACGCTGCCTTTGGCCTGGCTGCTGGCTCTGCGAAGCAGGGACTGCGTGGGACCAGGAGCAACTTCGGGGCACGTGCTCCGGGCTCCCGGCCCCAGGGGCTGACCTGCTGCTCCCCGCGGCTGACCAGAGGGGGGCTCTTTCCAGGACCGTGCGAGCGATGAAGGCTGGCCAAAGAGAGGTGTAGTGGTTAAGAGTGCAGGAGCGGGATGGGGTTCGAGTCGCCGCTTAGTTAGGGAGCCACCTGGGTGCCTTTGGGCCAGCCACAGACTCTCAGCCCAGCCTACTTCGCAGGGTTGTTGTTGTGGGGATAAGCTTGGGTGTAAGCTGCTTTGAGCTCTAACAGAAAAAGGAGGGATCTGCATCGGCTAAATAATGGGTGGCAGGCAGTTTTTCTTTCTGGCATGCCTTTCTCACTCTCTTTTCAGTGCACTTAAAACACAGAAACAGACGCAGATCAAGTCAGAAGGGATCTCCCCGGCCATCTAGACTGACCCCAGCTCCACCCATGCACTCCCCGGCATGTGGGTGTCCACCCTTTCCTCCCCAGTGCACACGCTCCAGCTTGCACTGCTCAGCAGTTCCCCCTGGAGCTGCCCCAGAATAGGCCCCCTGCGGGGGGGGGGCTTCCTGTGGCAAGGCCTGGGGGTGCTGGGATGCCTGTGATCAGCCTCAGTCGACCAGCTGCCCCTCCCGGCTGCCGCAGGAGAGAAGGAGCCGTGCCGTGGGGCGGCTGAGGGGAGTGGGGCTGCATGAAACGGCTCTGGGGCTGGTGCTTCCCCTCGCTCGGGCTGGGAGGAAGTTCCTGCCACTGCATTTCTTCACTGAGAAAATGAGGAACATGGAACAAGAGCAGCGAAAACCAAGAGAACCTCTCCAGCTCTGCTCCCCTCCCCCACGTGCCCCGAGAGGAGCCGGCCAGAGGCCGGGGGGGGGTGTCCCTCGGCCGGGAACCCCGATCGTGCCGGGGCGCTCGCACTCACCGTCGCTGGCGCACGGCAGGGAGCTGAGGGAGTCCATGCTCTTGGCTGGCCGCAGCCGCGTCTTGCCCTCTTTGTCGTCTGGAAGAGAGGGGGCATCGAGTCCCTTTGCGCCTGCTCGGCCACGGCGGCTGCGGAGCCGTGGCTCGCAGTGGGCTTTATTTGGCCCCCGTGGCTTAGTGGCCCGCCTGACGCGCCATCGAGCCAAAACCGCAGAGCCCCTCCGCCAGGGGAGCGACAGGGCTGCTCTCCAGCCGACGGCGGCAGGCGAAGCGCCCAAACGAGTTGTGGGCTTCCCGTGCGCTGGGCGCGTGCGCCCTCACGTGCGATAGGGCCGGGAGGGCGGGGGCGGCAGGGGCGCTGCTGGGGTGGGTTCTGGGGGGCTGCACCTGCCACGGCCACGCGGGCGCCCTGCCACCTCCCGCCCGCCCGCTTCGACCGCAGCTGCCCCTTGCTCCTGCCTCCACCCTCGGCCCGGCCCTGCCATCCTCACCGAGCTTGCTTGGCTCCCAGAAGCAGCCTCCTTACCTTGCCCGCCCTTGGACCTCCCTGTCTTGCTGGTTCTTGACCCTGGGCTGTTTCTAGATGTGCCTCTGGCCCTGTCCACCTGGAGCAAGCCTCTCCCTGCACCCGCGCCCTGCTCTCGGCCCCCTGACCGTTGCCACCACCCACGTCCGGGCCTCACGCAGCTGCCCGACGCGCTCTCCTCGGGCCACGCTCTTCCTCGCTTCCCCGGTGCTCCCCAGGGAGCTCTGCTCTGCCTGACCACCCCCTGGGCACAGCAGGGCCTGCGGGCCACCGTGGGGACACCCTGCGCGCAAGGGATCGTCCCGCCTCGCCCGGAGGCTGGGTTCGCAGGAGGTGATAAGCCGCGGTGGCGTCTGAGCCCCGCGGTGGGGCTGCTCTGCTGCTCTGACCAGGCCCACCCAGTGGAACTCCGAGGCCCACGGCGTTGTGTGAGCCATTCTAATGCCCCTGGCAGAATCCATGCCAGGGACGAGGAGTCTTCCTCTGCTGAAGGATGCTGCCCCACCAGGGAAATTGGTTGGGGGCCGCTTCCTGCAAGCAGGAGGTGCATCAGAGCAGGAGTCTCCAGGGCTGCAAGATGCCTCTGTGCCCCCACCCCCACCCCACGGTTCGACAACAGCCCGGTGGGGGAGAATGAATGTGAACATGCAAACCACCCGGGATATCGCAAAGCGACGGGATGTGCCCTTCCTCAAATAAACTGCAACATGGAGGTGGGATGGTTTCGGAGCACCGCCCTTCCAGGCACGGCGTCTGCATTAACATTCACGGGGCGGCAGGTGAGTGACCCCCCAGCACACTTCCGCCCCAGCACCGCCAGGCACTCCGCTCTCCTCAGTCAGGCGAGAGCAGAACTCGCAGGCGGCTCATTCCGGCCCCGGCAGCTCCAACCCGCCCGGGCAGAAGGAAGCCGGCGGGGCTGGCGGGCAGGTGCCCAGAAACCATCCGAATCGGGGCCCTGGGCTGCACGCGGGGCGCAAATGTTCCTGCTGGGGCTGCAGCGAGGAGGCGATGAATGCAGGGAATGGTCCCAGGTGCCTGCTTTTGTGCGGGGCGCATGACTGCCCGTGCTCCGTGATGCGCCCTGCACAAGAGGCGCAGGTCGCTGGGGCACAGTCAGCCGCTCACCTTTGTCCTCCGGCTTGTGTGACTTGCGCCTGGAGTCATTGCTGGATCGGCCCAGGTTGAAGATGGACTTCCATTTCTTGGCCTTGATGGAGCCTTTCCGTCTGCAGAGAGCAGCAGTGGGGCTCAGCCACGGGGCGGGGGGGGGGGGCGCGGCACCTGGCAAGCCCCCTCACTGCCCCTTTGCGAATGCCCTTCCGGATGGCCCGGAAAGTTGCCTGCATCCCCAGAAGTGGTGGTGGGGGGGCTCAGGGACAGCCCGAGACCTGGTTGCTGCCCAAAAAGGAGGCTGAGCTTCTGCCCGATTCTGTTTCCCACTATTTATTCTATAGGGCTCTTGCCCCCCCTTTGGGAGAACTCCCCACAGGGTGTCTGCCGGCTGCAACCCGGGGGATGCCCCGCTTGCTGCAGCCAAGCCAGTCAACCTCCGTCTCCCCCCAGCAGTCCAGCAGCAGGGCTGAGACATCCGCCACACTGCACCACCAGCCAGGCCTCCCAGGGCGGTGGAAGAGGCCGCGGGGAGGCCTTCCTGCTGGACAGCACCGCCCAATACTGGCTGGAAAGGGTGCAGCACTTTCCTCACGCAGCCCAGTCGGGGGGGGGGGGCAGGCCTCGCCACACCCCACAGCCCCACAGCCACTCCAGGTGTTTTTTCGGCCCGGTCAGTTTTTTCGGCCTGGTCTCGCCCTGCCCGGCTTCAGCTCCTGCCCCATTCGGAAGCCGACCACCTGCCTGACTCCAGACGGTCCTCTGGTCAGGACGGCCTGGAGGGCCGGCAGGTGGCTCTGGCTCCCCCGCAGGGGATGAAGGGCACGGGACCCTGGCAGCCGCTCGTGGTGCCGCCGGCCCTGCCTCTCTGGAGACCTCTGCCCGCCCAGCACAGCCTGGCCTGGCCTGGCCTGGCCTGGGGCCCTCCGCCGTGCCGCCTCAGGGGACCCTGAGCGCAGCGCCTGGGCTTTCCGCGGGGTGCATCATGCAGGACTCGCTCTGGGCATCACCAGCGGAGGGGGCACAGAGGCCTGCCTTCCCACCTGGCCAGGGCACTCCTGCCCCTCCTTCTGACGCCCCCAGGCAGCCCTGTGGGGCACCCCATGCTGACCAGGCATGTGTTCATGAAGGCCGGAGTCTGCATGTGGAGCATGGGTGCATGCACCGTCCGGGCCCATCCAGGAGCGAGCGCACCGGCCATGTGCAGACTCGGAGCTCCTCCCAGGAGCACCGGTGCTGGCTGAGGAGGGCAGGAAGAAATAAATGCGCGCAGACACGGGGGAGAATGGCCCGCTTGAGGCTAACCCATGGCTCCTTCAGTCATTTGTTCTTGCTGCAGCTGATGCAACAGACCACCAGGCCGTAGGTTCCTTTTCTCAGGCCCAAGGTGGCTCGGTGCCCTCCTCCTCTGCCCGTTCCCTCCCTGTGTCCGGATGCGCTAGCATGCCGAGCATGGGGCCTTGGAAGATCGCTCTTGCCCACCGCCTCTGGAGCCGGGCAAGACCAACGCCACCCATGGTTCAAACAAGCGTGGCTCCACAACACAGCAAAGTGTGGTTTGTTAACAGGGGGCTTCCTCCCAGTCTAGCATTTCACATGCCATGGGCTGAATAAACCGTGAGTCGGCCGTATGTGCGAAACAGGCCCATCTGTGGGGTGAAGCACGGTCTGTTCCAGTGCTTTGTCATGGCGTCCAGACGGAGGTGGGCAGAAGGAGTCGGGGCCTCAGCTCCCAGCAGCCCCTGTGGCAGGGCCGGGGTGAGCCGGCCGGCGTCTGTGCCTGGGCACCCGAGTGGGGGCATGACAGAGGTCTTGGTGGAACGATGGGGGCCGGAGGCAACGGTGAAGCCAGGAGAGCGCAGGACTCGGCACTCCATCCAGGGGAGGCAGGAGCCGAGGCAGGTGAGGGTGGAGGCAGGTGACTCATGGTACCTGTGCTGCACATCAGGGCTAGTGCTGTGGCGCACACTCCAACCCTGGCCTCCTCCCGGTATGGCTAGCAGGGCTGGGAGCCGAAGCCGCAACCCTCTGCCCATGGGAATCCCCCTTCTGCCCACCCATATTCTCCCGCCTGGCACCCCCCAGATGCGTGGGAGGCACCAGGCGAGGAAAACCCAGTCCGGGGATTCTTGGGGTCAAGCCCAGGCGCGTGGGGGAGGTGGATCCCAGGCGGAAGGAAGGTGTGTACTTGCTGTCGGCGAGCTCAATGATGGTGTGGTACGGGCGTATCTGCGGCGGTCCGTCCCCCTGGTTCAGCACAGCGGGAACGTTGTAGGAGAAGCTGTACTTCTCTTCGGGGTAAGTGACTGATGGCCCCACAAGCAGGAGGGACCTCCTGAGAGATTCGCGGCTGCCGACTGGAGGTGGAAAGCAAGAATCAGCGAGGAGATCCGAGAGCTGAGGGGGGCGGGGGGGGGCTGGGGGGGGCAAGCCCGCCCCCTTGCTCAGTGCCAAAGCACCCCACAGACTCTGCTGGGAAATCCCCATCAACAGAGACCCCAACTCCAGTGTCCATTCCAAATCTCTCTTAATAATGATTTTTACCCATGACTCCGTGTCCCACAGTCTTGCATCACAGCCCTCTAGGTACTGGAAAACTGGGCTCCAGCCTTCTCTTCCCACAATTAAATGTCCCCAGTTTCTTCCACCTTTCCTCAGGAGACTCAGAATCATAGAATCACAGACTACCAGAACTGGAAGGGGCCATGAAGGCCATTGAATCCAACCCCCTGCTGTTGCAGGACACCACGTTACACCCTCCCGCTCAGAGGGCTGCCCAGGTTCTTTTTTAATGTCTCCAGTGTGGGAGAGCCCACCAGGCAGCTGGTTCCAGTGTGTATCGGTTCTGCTCCCCCAGTCATTTTCGTTGCCCTTCTCCAAACACCCTCCAATGTTTCTGAGCCCCCTGAAAGCAGGGTGCCCATCATGGGCTGCCATATCTGAGGGGAGGCCTGGGCCATGCAGAGAGGCGGGGGGCTGCTCTCACCCCTGATGGTGCCACGCATGCCACTGAACAGGGAGATTCTTTGCATGTACTCAGAGGGGAGTCCCATTGCGTGTGCAGGCTTACTCCTGGGTCGCAGCCTGCACCGGAGGGCTATTGGCGGACTGGGTGCGTGCAGCTTGACTCTGGGCCTGTGCCAGCCTCGGGACGCTGCTTACCGGGGCAGGGCCTACTCTCTGTCCCATCACTGGGAGGGTCCCGTAGTGGCCCACCCACCTCCCACCCCTTCCGCCACTGCCCTTCCAGACAGTGGGTGTCGCAGGGACTCCGGCTGCGGAAGAGAAGGCCAAGCGTCCCGTTAAAACAGCCTGGTGTTGGCTTAAAAAGTGATTAGAAAAGCCCCAATACCTTGAATGAAGGACCTGGAAAGTTGAGTTGAGGTGCCCCCCGCGCAAGCCCCCCTCGCCCCTCACGCTGCGGCACAAGGGCTGCAGAGGCGCTCAGTGCCCAGGAGGACTCACCACGGAGGGGAGCGTTCCTAAATATCTGTTCCACGTGGGTGAGGATAAATTCCACCACGATGGACTGGATGCGGACCTCCATGAAGGCGGCTGTGCCGTTGAAGCCGGACAGCTCGATGTCCTTGGACCTGAGGGAAGAGGGAGAGGGCCAGGCGTCAGTGGTGTGCAGGGAGGCACGGGGCCCGAGGGAGGCCTGGGGCCCGTGCAGCCCTCTGAGTGGGCCCCGCAAAGCGGCACCCACAGGCACCCTGGACCGAGCACTGAGCGCCGGGCCTGCTGTGCACGTCCCCCCCCGACCTGGCAGCCTCCGGATCTTCTGGAGGACAACTCCCCTCTTGTGGGTCATAGCCCCACACACCTGGAAGGCCGTGAAGCCCCCAGGCTGCACTCATGAACCAGGCAGCTGGCTGATCGGGGGTCTCGCCCACACTCCCTCAGGGCTACTCTGGCCCGGGGACTGCCTCCCAGCCTAACCTACTTCGCAGGGCTGTCGTTGTGAGGATAACATGGAGCTGCGTGCGCTGTCCTGAGGCAACTCACACGATGGAAAAGGGCCGGCTGTGTGTGTGATGGTGCCTTATTGCGCTTTTCCCATGTTTGGGGCCTGCAGTCTAGATAAGCTCTCTTGCGCCGTCTTCCAGGATCTTTGAGGTGTTGGCCTCCACACATCCCACCCCGCACCGACCCTCCGCACCCCGCTCCGGCCCGTTCTTCCCTTTTATAACAGCTCGCCTGGCAAAGCAGCCCTTGGGACCCGAGCCCTCGCACCCTCAGGGCGATGTCCTGGCTGGCCCAGCGGAAATGCTGCTCCCGCAGGGGGGCCGCCCTGTTCGTCCCGCCGGCGTGGCTTTTCTGGGGCTCCGGTGCTTGAAGGAGCGTGTCCATGGGGTGGCGGGGTTCGCCCGCTCCTTCCAAACCGGTCCGCTCGGCTTGGCCCGGCAGCTCCCTGCCCAGGAGCTTGCTGGTTCTGGACTAATGCTGCTGAGCGGGTCCCAGAAACCTCAGCACAGTCTGTGATAAGCAGGGCTCGCCGCAAAGCGAGCACGGGGGGCACTGGCTGCGGGCCCCCAGTTGCCCCTCTTGCACCTTGCCGCCCCGGGAGCCTCCCGGCCTGGCTCTGGCCAGGAGCATGGGCAGCGAGGTGTGAGGGCAGCAGGTGCCCGGACCCCTCGCTCGTTCACCCGCAGCCAGGCAGGGGCCAGCGGCAGCCAAGGCGGAGCAGCTGGGCAGCAGGGGGCCGACTGGCTGGGGAGGGTCGCTCGGCGGGGCGTTGCCCAAGCGCCCTCCAGCGCCCGGACCAGCGGTGTGGGCACAGGCAGGGGAACAGCCGCGCGAGCCTCCCAGGTGCCCCAGTTTTCCCCGGGGACGCGGTTTGCATGGCCTGCGTTGGCTGGCAGGCTCTCCCGCCTCGCCTGCCTCGTGCTGATCGGCCTCGGCATCCCGGCAGCTTTCCAGGCGTTTGCCGTGCCTCGGCCAGCGGTGCAAGAAGCACCCAGGACAGGGAAGCCACGGCAGGCTTCGGCGTGACTGCAGTGCCAGGCCTCACGGCATTCCAGGTACCACACAGATGTGACTTTTCACCTTGCTGTGAGTTGTGAAGAAGTACACAGGCTGGCACTCGCCTGCCCGCTGTGCTTGCACCTCCTGCTCAGGCCGGCAGCCTGCGCTGACTGCCCATTCCAGCTGAGGGAGGCCTTGCCCATCGGTCTGCTCACCGAGAATGTGCCAGCACCGTCGGTTCTCCAAGTTACTCAGCAAATCTCCTTGTGAGCAAGCCTAGGCCTGGCACATCACTTTCCTTGGGGTTCCGAAAACCTTGACGTCAGCGCGGGCACACACCCCAGTCCCCAGAGGCAGGGCCCCAGCCCCCGTCTCCAGCCAAGCCACGGTTCAGGCTCCGCTTGCCTCAAGAAGCCCCACGCCAGCCCCAGCCTGGTCCCACCTCGGCATCCTGCAGAATCTGTTCTCACCTGAGCAGGTTGGGAGCCCAGACGATGGCCAGGTTTCGCACATGCATGTTGGTCTGCGCACTGTGAGATGCCATGTGAACCAGGTGCTTCATCAAGAACTCCAAGGTCCTAGCAGGTGGGAGGCCGAAGCGGAGGAGGAGAAGGGAAACGGACAGGAAGGAGAGGTGAGGGGGCTGCGTGAGCGGGTGTCCATGCACCGACTGGTGCTCAGGGCAGCGAGCAGCAAGAGGACACGAGCAATGCAATAATAAGGAACTGTCAGGGCATTTTAGCTTCCTTTGGGTGCCTTCTGGTGTGTGTGTGCGCGTATTTACTTATTTGGGGTATTTCTAACCTGTCCAATCTCTGGACGGCTTCCAACATGTTATCTTGTAAACGGGATTTTATTTACAATGAGGTGTCAACAAAATAAAATAAACCACAAAAACAAGATAGGTAAACCCCCCCAAAACCAGGACACTGATAAAAACGGGGGCACCCCATTGTATAGGTTTGGTGCCAGTCTGAATGACTCCCAGGGGTCAGGGAACCTTCGCAGTGGACAGCTGGGAGGGGCAGAGGCCCGGCCCCCCGCCCAGCGCAGGACTCGGCTGCCTCCTGGATGCCTCGAGGGCAGCTCGCGGCCTCCCATGCTGCTCCGCTCCCCCATCCCATCCCATCCCCGCAGTGGGTTGGAGCCCCACTGGGGCAGCGTGGCCTCCTGCCGTGGCTGCACCCCGTTGACTCACAGGAGCAGGCAACCCTGGGAACCGCGGCCGGTGCTGGGGCTGCAGAGGAGCTGCCCGGCAGGGCTCCTTGTGGCCTCACCGGACGGACCCACACGCAGTCCCTACTTCCACGGCAGGAGGGGCTGCGTGGACCTCAAGGCAGGCGCTTTCTGGGCCTTGCAGATACCTGTAATGAGGCGATGGGAGCTCCTTCAGCACCTCTTTGATCTTCTCCAGCCGGCCCTCTTCCATCTGGATCGCCACGGCATCCTGGATAGCAGCGGAAGCGGCATTCACAACCTGATTTGCTAAACTTCCCCACCTCCCCCCCCCACCTTCGCTCCCCCGAGCATCTGATAACTGGGGGGGGGGGTCAGTTCCCCTGATCCGTCCGAACTGAGCCTCGAGACAGGAGCCAGGGGGCCAAGCAGGGCCTGGAGTCTGAAGGCTGAGAAGAACCAGTGGCCAGCCTGGGCTGAGAGAGACACCCTGGGACTTGGGGGCCCCTCGCTGCCCGGGAGGCTGTTCCTAGAGCAAAGCACATGGGACAGTTCTGCCTGGCCGGGGGGGGGGGGGCAGCCCTGGCAGCTCCAGTTCAGCAGCTCTTCAGGGGGAATGTGGCAGCCTTTGGACACTCAGAAAACATTGGGCAGTTGCGATTGCAGAGGAGCTGATGGGCACCAAGCGGCTTGGGTCCTGGATACCCAGGAGCGCCTTCTTCCCTATGTGCCAGCTCGCCCCTTGAGAGCGGAGGCAGAGGCCCTTCTCCGGGAGCCCCCTCTGAGGGAAATCAGGAGGGCAGCTACCTGGAGAAGGGCCTTCTCTGCGGTGGCGCCCCAGCAGCAGAACACGCTCCCCAGGGAGGCTTGCCTGGCGCTGTCACTTTATTCTGTTCAGCATCAGGTGAAGACCTTTTTATTCTCCCAATATTTTAACAGCTAATTGGCTTTGTTCCTGTTTTTATCATTATTTACCGGATGCAGTATGTTCTGCGTTGTTGTTGTTATGATTTGCTTTGGTTTTTGTTTTTTTGTAAGCCGTCCAGAGACTTTCAGTATTGGAACAGCATATAAAATTAAATAAAATTTAAAAACCTCATTTCAGACTGGCCGGGCGGATGCCCCTTTTCCTGCTTTTTCTAGCCTCCAGCCCTCTGTGCTTAGCCTCCGTAAAGGGAAGTCTCAATAACGGTGTCACTCGGTAAAGGGACACCCAGGTCCAGGCACTCCCCAGCCAGGGAAAGGCCCCCACTGGCACGGAGGGCCGTCTGGCGCCTACTCACGGCGAACTTGTCGTACAGCTGGTAGGTGAGGAGCGGGTTGGGCAGCTCCCTGAAGTAGGCCTTGCAGAGGGAGCTCACGCAGTGGATGTCCTGAAGATACACGTCCTTATTGAGGTCCGGGCTGCGCTCGGCGTCGAACTCCAGCCTGGCGAGCACCAGGGAGCAAAGGAAGCGGAGACCGAGAACAGCGTGAAGCGAGACGGCCGGCGCGGCGGGCACGCTCCCTCTTGCCAGCTGGAGGGAGCCGGGCAAGGCCCAGGGCTCTTGTCCCCGGCAGGCAGCAGGCAGGCGGCCAGAGGCACTGCCCCGGGCACGGAGGGTCTCTTGAAGGACTCCAGATCCACCACCGCCCTCCCCTTTTGCCTCTGCCACTCCCAGAGCCACACGGCTCAGGTGAGCAGACCTGGGAGAGCAGGACTCCGGGGGAGTTGGGTTTCTGGCATCCCTGGAGGCCCCCTGAGGGCAGCGGCCTCTCCAGAGGCAGGCCAGGATGGCTCCCACGAGGAGGCTGGCCCTGTGCGGAGGAAAGCTCCTCGGGAGTAAAGGGCTGGCAAGACTCCTCCCAGCTGCGGCCGAGTCCTGCGTGGGGCCCTGGAGGCCCCCACAGAGAGCAGGCTGTTGCTGGAACATCATCGGAGTTCCAGGTCCCGGTACCTCGAAACCTCGATGATTCCCACTTTTGGACTGCCCCTTTTCTGGCTCGACCCTCTGCTCACCTACTAACTTTGTGGGACGGTTTCGCCCCTGCTTTCCCCAGAGGCTGAGCTTGGCACAGCCGAAGCAGTACGTGCGCTACCCGGCCAACAGCTACAGCGGTCCCTCATCCCGATTTTACCTTAATTTCTGGATATTTGAGGAGATGCCGGACAGCCGGTAGATCCCATCCACAATGCCGTGATGTTCCACAAACTCAGTGCAGCTCTTCAGGACCTGTGGAACTGGGAGAGTAGCCCAGGTTCAGTTGGGGGGATCTTGTGAGCTTGTGATGGGCCGTCCAAGGGGCCCCGGAAGCTCCCACTGAAGCCACTCTCCGGGGGGCAGCGTCTCCCGGGCGCTCCATGGACGGGCATCCTCTGCCCTGGCCCTGGAGGCCAAAGTGTCTCCCCCTAACACCACGTGTGTCTTAGCTTCCCCCCGACGCACCGTGCCACGCGTTGGGGCTGCCTGGCATTTATTTAAGGCACGATGCGACGGAATAGTGGAACTGGGAGCCAGCACTGGGACCCGGGGCGGGGAATGGCGGCGGAGTCCCTCAGGAAATGGCCCCACAAACACCCTTCTTGATAAAGGACAGGGAGAGGAAGTGGGGGCTCAGCTACTCCGCGTGGATGGCAAAAGTACCGAGTTTCCCATTCCTTTTTGGAAGGCTCGGCTCAGGTTTTAACTTTTAGCACGTTGGAGTATCGCTTATGTATAAAAGGGACCTGTTTCATTTTTGTTTTCGCATGACTCGTAACTGGTATGTTTTAAAGTGATCAAATGTCCACTATACATTTTTATTAGGAGACAGACAGTAGTTCCCTCAAACATCCCCCCCACTGGAGAGAAACCGTACGGCTGGCAGTTCGGGTTGCTTTTAGAACCGTCTGGTTGTCGGTCATTGTTTTTCGGCGACCCCCGTTTTCTGCTAAGAAAGGCCGCCTGTCTTTAGCGTTTCAGTTACAGCGGGAAAGGGTGAGGCTGGGAGGAAGGGGAGTCTGGCTGGCATGGCCTGCGGGGGCGCCCCTGCCAGGCGCACCTCGCAGGAAGAGAGGTGTGCACGCCCATGCCCACGCAACCGGCTCCCCGGGCGGGCTGTCTGGGTGGAGTCCTGCTATGAGTTCATTTCATTTCCGAACCAGGGACAGGAAGCGAAAGGCGATGACGCAGTGAGAAGTGGAGCGGTTGCGGCCCTTGGCAAAGCAGCCGCATTTGCGGGGTGCGACCTGCAGCCGCGTTTCAGAGGGCGGAGGAGCCCTGCCGGATCAGCCTGAGGCCTCGATCCTGGTTCCCGGACGGCTGACGGCGTGCTTTCAGGAAGCTTGCAAGGCATAAGGGGTGCAGCGCGGGGGCTTCCTTTCCCCTGGACAGATGGTTGTGTGAGTGCTGCGAGGAGGGCTCCCCAGCTCCTTGCAGAAGCATCGGAAGCGGCCTAACACCGAATCAGGGCCCAGGTCCATCTAGCCAGAACTGCTCACACAGATAGTGCAGCCGTTCCGGAAGGAGGGTTTCCTAGTGCTACCTGGTGTTGCCAGAGACTGAACCTGAGGAACTTCTGCCTGCACCTCATGCGCTTGGCCTTTGAGTTGCAGCAGTCCCCACTGGGCTACTAAACCCTGAAATAAGCCCCACTTGGTTTTCATAGACTCGTGGAGTAGTAGAGCTGGAAGCAATTCACAAGCCCCCTTTATTTTATTTTTTTTCCTGTTCTTCTAAAACCCCAGTAACTGAAGTTCACTAGTTTATGTGTAACACATCAAGGACATAAAAGGCAAATATTGAAACAAGGGATAAAAATGCAGAAGAAAACCCAAATGAAAGCAAGTACCAGGCTAAAGCACTAAAAGGGCTTAAAGGCCCCGCCCCCAGCATTCTTAAAATGCCTCCGAGAATGAAAGAACCGCAGTGTAGACGCACCAGGGAGAGCGCTGGACAGTGGCTACCAGCACCTTGTTGGCGCAACTACATGTGGCCGCCTCCCCAGGCACAGCTTCCAGGGTCCAAGTCCCTCCCCAGGCCCTCTGGAAGCGGAATCCCCGAGCGAGAAGGGCAGGGCCGTGTTCACACGTGCCTTTACATCCAAGCATCAGGACGGGCTGGGACATGCAAGGCACAGCCGGCAGCTTTTGTGATGCTCTTTCGGCAATGGGCAGTTGGCCTAACGCACACACATCCGCCGCACTCCAGGTTCAGTATTGGACTGCAACACCTATCATGCTGCCAGTGTGGCCAATGGCTTTCAGGCTGGGGCAATTTACAGCCCAGCAATAGGGCTCATACATGACGGGGGGTGGGTGGCGATGAGGGTCAGTTTGGACATTTCAGTGCTTCGACCGGGATGCCCTATTTTCCTCTGCACCTCAAGCTCGTTTAGAGCAAGCACAAGGGGAAAGATGAAAGACACGGGTCCGGCTACGGCTGATACTGTTTAGCTGACGCAGTCAATTAGCTGCCGTCTTGCATGCACCACCCATAAAAATAGCCGCCTGATACGTGAGAGAGAACAGTGGGCCCCCTGGGGAAGGCCTGGCAGCGATAAGCGGCCCACAGATACACGCACAAATAACCAAACAGACCGTGAGCCAATGCTTCCCCCGGAAGCCCCGAGGAGGATTGACTGCACACCTTCCCAGCTCAGAATTACAATCGGGATTGCACAGGGGAACGAGTTCTAGTAGCCAGACTGGGTGGCCTGTCTTTCAGCATCCCAGAATCTCTGAGTCAGACATTCAGAAGCTTTTGTTGTTCGAGCAGTCGAAGAGATTCCAAGAGAGCAGCAAGTGAATTCGTTTTATGTAAAATTATGTGGGAGCATTTATTGGGGTTGCTAGCCTAAAGGTCTGGAGCGCTCCCTTCGCGCAAGGACGTCTGCAGTGGCTCCAAATCATTTTAAAAAATATTAAATAGAAATGGGGCCAGAGGGGAGTCCTTGCTGGCCATTGCTTCCATTGACCCAAGGGGACCTGGGGATTTGTTTGGGTTTACAAATTACAGATAAAATTTTCTATTCAGACACATGTTCTTTCCTAATTTCTCCCACAGTAAAGTTCTTGAAGCAGGAACAAAGGCTTCTTTCAGGACAAAAGAGTCTGGGAAGTTTTTCCCATTGTTTTACACAACATACTGATCCCTGTGTAAATGCGGATTTAACAAAGGAGCACTTTCCTCTGGGAAAGCTGGGGAATGGAGTGTCCTCGCATGAGCCGGTTCCACCTTGCCAGGGTGGCCCCAACTGCTCCGCTCACTAGACATCTCTGCCATCGCCTAACGGGGATATGCCTGCCTAGAAAATCAGCAGCTTTGCTTTGGGATTCGCTTCTGCACCGTGCCCTCTCCCCGTGTCCAGGAAGCCGCAAAACAGCCCAGCCATAAAGTACCAGCACCTGGTTATTATGCACCTCTTCTCTCTCTTTCCAAAAATCCAGGGGTTGCAGAAATCCTAAAACTTCTCCTGGGGGTCGGGACTCCTGCATGTCAAGGTGCTGGGGAAGTGCCCCCGCCTGCGGTGCTGGGGGGACGCAAGAGCGCTGCCGTGGCAGGAGGCGAGCCGGAGGGGGTCCGAGCTTTTCCGTGGGAGGCATTTCTTGCGGGCAGGGCGGGCGAGCGGGGGATGGTTGGTCTCGCCCGTTGTCCCCATGGGGCCCTTGGCCCCACACTGGGGGGTGGGCGTTACTGCGCTCCGTACGGATCCAGCGTCCCTCTGCAGGCGCCCTGCCCCACGGACCCCCGGGCTGGCACACCGGCCTTGCCTTCCGCCCCACCTTCCGCTCCACTGCCCCTCAGGCAGGAGAGAGCGGACCAGGCACTCCTTCTCTGCCAGCTCTCCGAGGGCCAGGGCCTCAGATGGGGGCACCATGGAGGAGGTGGTGGGAGGGCAGGGGGGCCCGAGGGGCTGGAGGCTGGGCAGCTGCCTGAAGGCCACTGCTGCGGCTCCAGGCTGCCCGTGAGCACAGGTGCAGTTTGGAGGAGGCAGGAGGGGCTGGGGGGGGGGAGCCATTGCCCGGCTTGGCTCCCAGCCCCGCAAGGAGGCAAGCTGCCCGGCTTGTGGGCCTTCCCCAGCAAACGCAGGTGGATCCCGCAGGGTGAATTAACGGGGCGGATTGGGGAGAAGGTTCCAGTTTGGGCTTGACCCTCACTCTTCACATGAGCAGAGGCTATGGTGCAGCTTGCCCTAAGCAGCATGGGACCTCAATGCCTCTCCTGACCTCCGTCTTCCCATGCCGCTGGGACCATTCTCCGCCTCCGGGGGAAGCCTGGGGAAAGGGCAGCCAGGAGAAGGGCCTTCCTCGGGGGTAGCCCCATTGCGGCAGGATCTCCCCAGCGAGGCCCCTCAGGCAGCGCTGCCGTCTTCCCTGACAAGGTGCTCTGAGGAGGCAGCCGGCCAGGGCTGGGCCAGGCACAGCGGCTCCCCAGGGGCCAGAAAGCGGGGCTTTTGCTGCTGGAGCACAAGCTGTGGGGCCGGCAGAGAGCAAGCGAACGCGCGCCAGGGGTGTTTGCAGAGCCCTGCCGGGCCGCTGCCTCTTGCTCAACTTCTCAGTTGCCACAGCCCTTGAGACGGCGAGGGCTGGCGGAGCCAGAAAGGCCCCTCAGCCGCCTCCGCACCCCCCTGCGCCCCCACCGAAGGCTGCTCCACTGCATTGCCTGGCTCACTTCCTGTGTGCCCCAGCCGGCTGCAGGCCTGCTCGCCTGGAGGAGGGCCGAGGGGCTTTCCCTGCGGACAGCTCTCAGGCAGCCTCTGGGATCTCGCGCCGCCACCGGACTTCCTGTGCAGCTCCGGACTGCAGTTTCTTGTGCATGGTGATCTGCACATGCCCAGAGACGCCCTGTGTTTACTGCCTTCATGCCCTGGCTGAGCTGCAGCAGGGCTAGGGTCCAGTGCGCTGCCTCAGCTGCTGCAGGCGGCCAGCACGGAGGGGCCGGCCCCTCTCCGCCAGACCCTGAGAGCAGCCAGGGAGAAGTTTTGGTCACGCCCTACCACAAAATAGAAACAAAAGGTTCTTGTGTAATATTTGGATTCCAGAAAACGAAGCCCCCGAAATATCAAGCGACGTGCGCACTCCCCTTTGGCCAGACAGTGCCCACGAAGGCCACAGAGCTCAGCGTCTTGCAAGGCTGCCTCCCCCTAACAAAGCCCACTTGGGTTCTGCGACCTTCCCGGGACGCCCTTCGAGCCACATTTGGGGGGATGCGAGGAAGGGCCTTCTTGGTGGCTGCTCCCAGACACTGGCAGTGCCTGCTGGGGGACTGTAGCCACCCCCTAGTGCTGGCCCTCTGCTGGCAGCCGAGGTGCCTGTGGTCCGTTGGGCCACATGTGGAAGCAGCTCTCTGGGGCCCCTTCGCTGGCCGCCGTGTTTGCAACTGCATTTCTAATCTGAGTGATTTCTTTGAATGCTTCGGTCCCACCAGCCCTGGGTTTCTTCCGGCCGGCTGCCCTGAGCACCACTGACGTTCTTGGTGGAAAGGCAGGCCATAAAGGCCACAAAGGCAGCAAAATGCCACGTGGTCAGATTCTGGGCAAGCCCAGGCATCCTGACTCGCCAAAGGATGCGCTTGGCCGGAGCGGATGAGGCCGAAGCACCGAATCACCTCCGGGAGGAAGGGGGCCGGCTGTCGGGCGGGGATTCAGTCCCCCTCCAGCAGAGTGGGGAGACGAGAGGTGGGCTGTGCGGCCCACCACCATCCTGATGCCCGTCAGCATCTGTGGCTTTGGCTGCCGCTGTGGACAGCACTGCCCTCACCCGCCCCACGCCTTCCCCAGCGGGAGCGCCACAGGGCTGGCAACCCCTGCCCCCCGGGAGGCAGGTGCAAGCATGAGGGCTCCCCACCTCATCTCTGGTCACGGGGATGCTTCTGTCCGACAGCCTGGACTAGGTCAGGGTTGGGAAGCCAGGTGGGCTGGGCCGGCGGGCTGCCAGTTTCCCTTCCGTGCACTGGAGAAATGGGAGCACCCCGACCCATCTCTGTCCCTGGCTGTGCCGTGTTTTGAGGGCCCCCGGTAGCAGCTTGAGGGAGTGCCAATTGCCCCCCCCCGATCCACCCTCTATTGACTTCCTGATCAGAGGAAGCGGAGGCGCTCCCAGGACAAGCAGCCGTGTGGCCCCCCTCCTCCCCACCCAGAACGCCCGCCCAGCCCCTCCGTCAGAGAAGAAGCGGGATGGCCCTGCCGAGGGCGCTGCATGATCCTGCGACTTGGAGATGCGGTCTGGCGACCACGACGTCCCACTGCCCCTGACCTCACGACTGGCGGTCCTCCAAAAGCTTGGGACTACAGTTCCCATCAGCCCTAGCCAGCATGTGAAATGCATAATCTGGTTCGCTCACAAAAGCCTTGTGGGTGTCTGCCCCCAAATGCAGGGGAGAAGTAGCCCCGAGGCACCTCTTGCAGCCTTAGATGGCAAGATGTATTTCAGATTGTTGCAAAGCGAGCCCAGCCACAAAACCACCCGGCGGCACCCAATGAGAGAGCAACTTTTCACAAAAGCCTGGGACTTTCCGGGTATCTGAGCTCATCTCTGGTGAGAATTATTTCTGCATTGCCTTCCAGTACACAAGGAAGACCTTCTTAGAGCTGATGCTAAGAAACAGCTCTCACTTAATGAACAGCGGTGCCGAGTCCGTCTGAGCCCGCATTCTCAGCATGGACTGGCAGCAGAAGCCGTCCCGGGTTTCAGGTCGGAGGTTTCCCACTCCTCCTTGCAGATGCTGCTGGGGAGTGAACCCGGGACCTTCTCTCGAAATGCAGCATCACAAGCTAGAAAGCTGAACTCTGAAGGAGGCGTTGGGATGCATTGTTGAGATAACAAGGTTCACTAGCGAGTTCAGCCGAGAGGCTGGTGAGGACTGGGCAGCTCTTATTTGGGGGATTCTGTAGAACAAAGAGGCCCAGAGGAGGAGCGGCGTGAGCTCACTGACCCAGTGGTCCGTTGTCAAGCCAAACGCTCAGACCAATTAAATAATGTCCAGCATTCCCGCTGCCCATCCCAAAGCGGAACGAACCTCCCAGAGGATAGAGCCAGTCCCTTTTGGAGGAATGGGAACGGTTGGAAATCAACTGCTGGCACAGCTAGAACTAAATCCGTAGTTAGAGGCCTCATCAGCCTGGAAGATGCTACTCGCTATCGACTCTTAGGCCTCTGAGTGAGCTGGTGCAGGCTGGTCTCCTGCGACAACGGGGACTTGGGCCAACGGCCCTCTGGGCCCCGTCCGACTCTGCTGGTCTATGATTCTGTGAGCTGTGTTGTTATCTGGTCTGTGCTGCAAAGCCTAGAGCTCAGTCGAGAGCCGTATCTCAGGAGGCCTTTTCTTCGATCTTCTGGAAAGCGAAAGGGGGGAGGCATGCTCACAGCATGGCTCATGAGCTTTTGCACCCAGTTAGAGCCATGTGTACATGCAATTCGTGCAAGGCGGAACGTGAAAGGGAAACTGCAAATATGGTTGATTGAAATGATCACAGCTGTACTCCAGCCATCAGTCCATATATCAACCGGCAGCTGGTACGTAGCGCGGCTGGACCTGGAGGGCAGACATGCAAGGCCTGCCAGAATGCGGGAGCCAAGCTGCAGGGGTAGGAAATGCTTGCGTTTTACTGATGTCACTTGTTTTATTTGATAAGATTTGGTGGCAACTGATTCTATTTTAAACACATGTGAATATTTAAATTTCCAGTTTGGACATTTTAACCAACTGGTGTCACAAAGGAAGCTGGATTTAACTGATCGGTTGCATTTTGTTCCTCTGAAGTGGAGCTTATGGGGTGCTATAGATTCCTCAAAGAAAGCCATTGTTGTGGTACGCGCTCACGGGAAATAACCAGATTTCCGATTTGGCACTTGATCTGAATTCAAGATACAGTCTGATGCTGCGAATCTGGAGTAAAACTGCCCTTTACGCACAAGGGGGAGCGAGGCCAGACTTGGGTGGCAGCATCCTGGGCTGGCGTTCATTCCCCCGGCTGCATCCTAGCGTGACTGGATGTAAGTTTGGCCTTGTGTTACTAGACCACATGGATGCTCCGACACGAACCCCGGAGTCACCGAGTGCGCCTTCAGGCAGCCTCTTCTTAGCGGTCGCATCTTGTGCTGACCCTTCTGCACCTTCAGGCCCCCGGTTGAGTTTACTTTGTGAGGTTAATGGACAGGGATCTGGCAGAGATTCAGTTACAGAGTTGGATCTGGATTCACTGCTACTTAAAGTCATTGAAACGAGTCCCATTGATTTCCGTGACTCTTCTGCCTATTTTGTCTTACATTTATGCTGGTGCTCTAAGAAGGATTTTATAAAGTGTTATTGAACATTGGTGAGAAACTGCCCTGGAATTTAAAAGGTGGGGTCTAACGATTCAAAAGAAATACAAATGTTTAAATCAGGACAAAAAGTCTTGCTGACATCCAGAATTGGGCTGGCTGCCGAGGGTTTTTGGTGCTGGTTTTGCTTTTTTCGCTCTGCAGATGAATCAGGAGATATATCGCGCTTTCGGCAGAGTCGACTGATACTGGGGGTGAGTGGTTGCGAAGTGACCCGAGGCACAGTGGGACGTCAGGAGCCTCCCCATGTTCACAGAGGGCTTGCAACACGCCTGGCAAAGGCCCCAGAGGCTTTGCGATCGAGACCACAGCCCAGCGGGAAGGCGGTCAGCCACCTGTGTGGCCTGTGCTTTCCGGGGGCCTGGGTCTTTTGAGGCTTTCTGCGAGGGATGTCGGAGGAAACTGCCAGCCACGAAAACGGAGAGCACTTACCGTCCTGGCCTGATAACTGCAGATGCTCGACCAGGTCACACCCAAAGACCCGGTCCTTGGCGGCTGCCTTCCGTTTCACCTTCTGCCGAGCCTTCATGGCGAGCGACATGGGTGCCAGTCTCGGGCCGCGTGCCCCACCCGTCCGCACGGAAGCCTCCTCGTCTGTTTCTGCCCCCAAGGCCGCTTGGGGTCATTGGACCCAGGGCAGGCCCTGTCCGCAGCGGCGGCTCCGATGCCGGCCCCTTCAGCAGGCTCCACTCGCAGGCTCGCCGCCAGGGAGATCCGCTTCCTGAAATCCAGGGCTGGGGTTCATGGCGTCCAACTGCTCAGGCCCAAGGGTTTCATAAAAACTGAGGTGGCTGTCCAACAGGTTCAGCGTGAAGAGTTTCTTGACCGGAGCTGATGACGTGAAACATGCAAGTGGGGAGGCAAAAACCCTGCCAAGGCCCCAGGGCTTGATGCTGGGGGAGAGAATCGTTACCCGTCTGCTCTCAGTCAAAACTCAACAGGAAGTGAGTTCAGCTTTGCCTTCAAACCCAACTTCCCGTACAGAGCATCTTTGAAACCACAAAGAAGCAGCTCTTGCACAAAAAATTCTCTCCTTGCTCTCTGTGATGTGCGTGCACATTTGCTTACAGATGCCCAGATGCCTGATTTGTGTGGCCTGACGGTTCCCCTTTCGTGCCACATACTTAACTCCTACAGTACAAATTAAATCCGTGGGTGCCTTGGGTGAAGGTCACCAAAAGAAAAAGCTAAGATTTGTGGCCTATAGCCAGAAATGTGTGGAAAATTCTAGGCTGGCAGAAATCATACACAAGAACTTGTTTGTTTTTACATTTAATTGTTATACCTTGCCTTTATCTCCTTCTACGTAATGTGCCTCCTCTCCATTTTATCCTTGCAACAACCCTGTGAGGTAGATTGGGCTGAGAGTCAGTGACTGGAGCAAAGTCATGTCTCTAACCACTGCACCACACTGCCTTTCAGTCTAATTGTGTGATAGGAGGAGGGCCTTTTCTGCAGCTGCTTGCCATATTTGGAATGCTCTCCCCAAGGAGATTTGCCTGGTGCCTTCCTTAAATTCTTTTTGACACCAGTCAAAGAACTTCCTTTTAAAGCAGGCATGTCCAAAGTCCGGCCCGGGGGCCAATTGCAGCCTGTTTTCAAATTTCGAGCGGCCCACAGCCTCTTCTCCCCGCCGGCTCAGCCTGTCACTCATCCCCGCGGCCGGCTGGCGTTTTTCCCTCCACGGCACAGCGGTTCCCGCAGCGGTCCCCTGCCGCCTCCTGCTCCTTCAAGGCTGGTGGTGGTATTTCGCCAGGCAGTGGACGGCAGTGGACCTGAGTCAGCACTCTCCCCGCGTGACCCTTGTAGCACAAGGCTTGTGTGCCCATTTCTAAAATGGCGACTGTAACTAAAGAAAGGAAAGCTGACAGCGAGGACCGCCGCTTCCAGGACAAGTGGAAATTGGAGCATTTTTTCACTGAAATACGAAACAACTGTGTCTGCCTAATTTGCCAAGAGACTGTGGCTGTTGTCAAGGAATTCAAGAGCCACTACCGGAGGAAACATGCTAACCACAACAAGCTAACTGGGAACGGACGCGGCGAAAAATGGAAGGAACTGGAAGCTGCTTTAACGGCACAGCAGCGCTTTTTCACAAGAGCCCGTGAGTCAAATGAAAATGCCACAAAGGCGAGCTACGAGGTGGCAATGCTGATTGCCAAGCAGTGCAAACCTTTTACTGAGGGTGAATTTATTAAAGGCTGCGTGATGAAAATGGTGAAGATTTGTCCTGAGAAGAAGCAAGAGTTTGCCAATGTTTGCCTGGCTCGTAACACTGTGGCACGGAGAACTGAAGACGTTTCATCTGCTATTAAGAGACAGTTAGAGGCAAAAGGAGTGGAGTGTGACTTTTTTTCGTTAGCCTGCGACGAAAGCACGGATGCATCTGACACCGCTCAGTTACTGATTTTTTTGAGAGGAGTGGACAATGACATGAACATGAGTGAAGAGCTACCTGACCTCCAGAGCCCTAAGGACCAAACAAGAGGAACAGATTTATTTGTTTGTGTTTGTTCCACTGTAGATGACATGAAACTACCGTGGAATAAAGTCACTGGAATTATTACGGATGGCGCACCTGCCATGGCTGGCGAGCGAAGTGGATTATCAACCCTAATCCATAACAAAGTCAGCGAAGAAGGAGGCAAAGCTATAAAACTGCACTGTATTATTCACCAACAAGTTCTCTGTGCCAAACATCTGAAATATCATGTTATGAAACCAGTGATGAAGGCCATTAATTATATTCGCTCCAAAGCCCTGTGCCACCGCCAGTTTCAGCAGTTTCTACTCGACATCCGGACTGAATACGGAGATGTTGTGTATCACAAGGAGGTAAGATGGCTCAGTGGGGGGTCTGCACTGCAGCGCTTCTACTCTCTTAGGGAGGAAATCGGACAATTCTTGGCAAAAAAGGGACAACCGATAAAGACAGGTTCCAAGAGATTCGAACATTTGCTAAGGAAATGCTGAGCTTGTTTGGTTCGACATACTTGTGTGAGAAGACTTTCTCGGTTCTGAACATTAACAAGAACCGCGTGAGGACGAGACTGAGTGACTTTCACCTGCGTGACACCTTGCGCATCAAAACCACTGTTTTTGAGCCAGACCTGGCCTATATAATGCAGTCGAGATCTTCACCCTTCACATTAGTGCAGTTATTTGTTTAGTCTTTTATAAAATAGTTCATTTGCATTTAATGTTAATGGTTCAAAGAATGTCAGGCTGAATGGTCGGCCCCCACACATTTTCACCTCACCAAATCTGGCCCTCCTTGCAAAAAGTTTGGACACCCCTGTTTTAAAGAAATATTTTAATAGTTAATGCCACTCAACCTTCTGTTTTGCATTTTTATCCGTATTTATTAACATTGTATTTTAAGTGTTGTAATTAGCTTCTTACTGTGTTTTATCTTATGACTGTGAGTTGCCCAGACGTGCTGTGGAACAGTTGCGTGGCATACAAATGTTTTAAATGAATAAATAAATAAAGTTATAGTCATTTTAGGCTGAAGTTGTGCAAATGGTCCCTTGGGATTAAGTCCCATACAAATGTTTTAACTAACTAACTAACTAACTAAATAAATAAATAAATAAATAAAAGTTATAGTCATTTTAGGCTAAAGTTGTGCAAATGGTTCCTTGGGATTAAGTCCCATGGACCTCAGCGGGCTCTGCGTCTGAGTGGACAGCACTGTGGCTGACCGCAACGGCAATTTCACTTGGTAGAATTTAAATCTAGGGCCCGGAACCAGTTTCATTCTATTGATTTTGCATTAATTGGCTGCTCGGATATCGTATGGTGAGAGAATATCCGGAACAGGGTCAGCCCACCAAATCCTTCCAAAGTCCCAGTCCACCAGTGAAACAACAGCGGACCACGAAAAGGGATCGTGGTCCCCCCAGCAGCACCTGGAGCAGCAACTCATGAGAACACACACACACAGACACACAGCCCTCCACACGAATGGGTGTGCTCCTCTCTCCCAATCCACGCGGCTGCAGCCCAGAGTGCTGGAGGCTCAGGGCCAAAGAGCCCCGTGAGCGCAGCGCTAGGCTAGGCGGTGCTGCCCCGGCGCCCCTTTGCTCCGCCTGCCGTCGGCCGCCCAATGCGCACCCGCGAAGGCAGAGTCGGCGCGCCAAGTGCTGCACTTGCGCCCGTTTGGAAAGGAGCGGGAATCGGCGGCCCGAGGTCCCGTCGCGCCGCTTCACCATCCATGGTTCTGGTCGCCGCTCTGCGAAGCGGATGGGATTCCGTGGGCTGAAACGTGCCCCCCCCAGGCTACAGAGGAGGAGAGGGGCGGAGAAGGGGGAGTCGAGGGATTGCAAGCTGGGCTGCGAGGAGAGGCCTGGGGCCAGCGGGGGCGGCCGTGGAAGGCAGGTGTGGGGGAGAGAAGACGCTGCTGCCCAGCGGTGGGGAACGGGAGCCCGAAGAGCAGGCCTGGGCTGTGCCTGGTCCTCGGTAACGGGCTCCCCCGAGCGCAGCACCATGAGCCTGGGAAAGGTCCGTTTCCACCCGAGCTTCTGCAACAGCTGCTCGGAGGAGGTCCCCACGATTCCTCGGGGACTGTCTCAAGCAGCCTCCGGAAGGAGTCGGGGGGACTGCCCTGCTTGGTCAGCCACTGCCGCCGCAGCTCTCTGCGCGGCCACGGCGGTCCCGGCAGACCCTTCCACAGCCATGCTGGACCCCTCCAAGGGGGGCACCTTGCAAATAAGGACACTGGGTGCAAATGGAGCAGGAATGCCAGCGGGAATCAGCAGAGATGCATGACTGAAATTTCTGACTGCAAAGAGGAAGGATGCAGCAGCCAGGGAAGGGCAGAAGAGGAGATGCTGCCAATTCCAAGAAACATAGCAAGTCAGAAGGGGCCTCCTGGGACATCAAGTCTGACCCCGGCTCCGGCCGGCTCCGCTCATGTCTGGACATGTCTGCATGTCCAGCTGATCCTTGAACACCCGCACCGATGGGGCCTCTACGACCTCCTGGGGGAGCCCATTCCACACCCTTGGGGTCCTGACTGTCAGGAAGTGCTTCCTGGCATCCAAATGGAACCTTGGTTCCCTGAGCCTGGCTCTGTTGGAGCGCATCCTGCCTTCCTCTGCAGGGGAGAACAGGTCTCTCCCCACCTCCGTGTGACACCCCCTCACATACCTGCATGTCGCCAACAGATCCCCTCTGAGTCTCCTCTCCTCCAGGCTGAAGAGACCCAGTTCCCTCAGTCTCGCCTCATACAGCATCCCCTGCAAACCGGCTACCAGTCTTGTGGCCCTTCGCTGCACTGACTTCAACCTGGCTATATCCTTCCTGTAATGAGGGGCCCAAAACTGAACACAATACTCCAGTTGCGGGCGCACCAGAGTCGTGTAGAGTGGTAGTAACACCTCTCGATCTAGAAGCCACACTTCTGGCTATGCAACCAAGGGTGGCGTTCGCCCTCTTGGCCACCGCGTCACACGGCTGACTCATGTTCAGCCTGCAGTCAAGCAGCACCCCGAGGTCCCTTTCACAAGTGCTGCTCTCCAGCCACTTGTCCCCTAACCTGCACTTATGACAGCCATTTCTGTGCCCCAAGTGCAAGGCTTTGCACTTACCTGCATTGAACGCCATCCTAGGACCAGGACACTGGGGAAATATGGATAAGGTGCCACATATTGGGGCTGTTCTGTGAAGGACTGACCGCCCCCAAGGAACAGATTACAAATAGGAACCGTGTGTGCCATTTGCAGCCAATGGCCTGGTACCGCTCCAAGGACTCTTTGCCAAAGCCCTTCTTCTGCTTGAAGTGTGAGAACTTTGCCAGCCCAGAAAGCTGCCCAAAGGTGTCAGCAGTGGGGCCGTGTGTCCCTGTTCCCAGGGCCCCCTTCCTCGTCACGCTCATGGCTCGGCCGAGCTGAGCAGCCTCGTGTGTGCGAGC